GGTTCCTGCAGTGGAGACACGCACCAGTGGCCCCGGCCCCGTAAAATTACCCCGAAGTTCCTGCGGTGGAAATGGGCCTACTGAAACTTCTCCTGTGTACCAAGTGTGAAGGAGAACTACACTGGCAGACATGAAAATGTGAATGACCCTGGCTGAATCCAAATATCCAGACTTCACCACACTTGCATACTCCTGGACTTTGCTGGCATGTCCCTTGAAAGTCTAGGAGTGCGGAGGGCTGTCCAAATCCACAGTTCAACCAGTCCACAGGGGGCCTCAAGCCGACTTTCTGCAGACTTCCAGAGAGTCTGCTTGGCGTACAGACTTCAGCAGACTTCAGTGATTTAATATCTCACATTTCATTGGCATACAGACGTGACGTTTTGGTTTTTTCAACTGCCGAAAAAAAACCATGAATGTGTTAAATCATTTTTGATAGTTTGGCCTATTAAATGCTACTTGGATTTTGTAGGTCAGAAATAATATTCAACCACATCATGATACAGAAATATGTAGTAAAGGCTGTAGAGGGACTGAAAATGTATTTAATTATTGCAGCCTATCAGACTGTGCAGTGTAATAGGCTAAAAAAGATGCCAAAAAACATGAAAAGAAGGTTTCTAATGTAAATAATGCCCAATTTATTGAGTTAGCCTATAGTCCTTTCCATATGTGCAAACATTGTTGTTTCTGAATGGGTACAGAGATGTATAAATACATTTTTGTTCAGTCTCAACAAAGGCTGTACATGGGATTTTTATCTTATTATCTGCAGGAACAGATGAGTAAGCACTATTTATCAACGTATATGACATATATATGAATATGACAGCAGAGATAGTTGACCGCTTTCACAGCCAGTAGTAAAACAGTCTTGTGGGTTGTCTATCAGCCACTTGCAGTCACTGCCTTTGCAGACTTTACATGATGTCAGTGAATATGTCACACTACATCCAGCTGAAGTTTGCCAGGGCTCAGTCTGCAAGTCAAGAGATTGGACATGTGGATGCAGCCCCATATTCCAATCTGATCGTGCATCTGTGGGACGTGCTGGTCCCCCACTTCACAACACACAGGACTCAAAGGATCCACTGCCAACGCCCTGGTGCCAGACACCATTGAACAATCCCAGAGGTCTTGTATCCATGCCTTGAAAAGTCAGAGCCAAGTCCGATCCAAAGAAACCCAGCCGTGGATTAGGGGTACCTCTGGGGTACCAGCGTGTCCCATGAATGCTCGATCAGAGTGGGATCTGGGAAATTTTGAGGCCAGGTTGATGCTTTGAGCCCTACGTCATCCTCCTCTGGCCATTCTTGAGCAGTTTTGCAGTGTGGTATGACCCTTAAATTTCCCTTAATTGAGCTACCTGGCCCAAAATATCAAGAACATACTCCCTGACCAGAAGCAAACAAGCATGTGCGTTAGGAATGTAAACATACTTTAGGGCATTTAGTGATGTATACCTGCAACACTTTTTATTGTTCACCCAACCTTTATTGCTATGAACAGCGTGAACAGCTGAAAATCTTCAAACAAACATTTGGCAGACATACAGACTTTACACAGTAAGCTTCCAGTTTGCCCTCAGGACCAGATGTGTGCATAAAATCTGTTTGCTGTCACTGTTGTAGCAAGCAGCCTTAAGGGCACGTAACACTAAGCAGAGGAACAGGACGGCATCTTGTTGCCACAACAAGGAATCAACCAAACTCACCAGCAGTTAAAATTTAATGTTGGTGTTTTCAGAGAGGAGTTGTCGTACTGGAAGTCACTGACATGCCTCTAACATTAAAGTGTAGCAAGACAGTTTTATTAAATAGCACATTTCATTAAAGGTAGATTCTACACACCTTATATCAAAATACATATGTTATAAAGCAATTAAAACCAGTGTTTCTGTGATACAGCCTGAACACTTGTTGCTGCAACCACATGTTTTTTCCCCACAAAATATTCTCTATATCTAGTCACACTCTTTTTTTCCCCAACTTTCAGCTCTTAGGACATTTATTGGTTGTTGCTAAGAATGTGGCGAAGCAAGAATCTCTAAAAGAAGGATACAGAGTGGGTAAGTTACAGCAATGGCCCTACAGTCATATATGTGAAAATACAGGTGGTTTAGTTTCTTGCACATTAAATTCTCAATGTTTCCTCCTTCTGCAGTGATCAACGATGGAAAACACGGTGCTCAGTCAGTTTACCACCTTCACATCCACGTGCTGGGGGGAAGACAGATGAAGTGGCCACCAGGATAATGGTTTCTTCTCCCTGTTAATGTGTGCGTCAGTTTTTTCAGGCTACTTTTATGTGTTTAATCCCAACAGGCATGACTTAATTATATTATGGGTGTAGTTCACATTCTCGTCCCATCATTCTGTACACCACTCAAAAAATATGACGTAAATAATGTTGATCTCGACAAATGTAAAAATTAAATGTAAAAATAAAGATATTACGTTTGATACGCCTGCAAATAAAGACACTATTTTTGAAATGGAAAATGTAAAACTCAACTTAGTTCTTTAAGGTGATGTTGTGTAGCCTCAATAGTGAGTAAAAACGACAGCTTGATATTTGATATTATATTTGATATTTATTTCAATCGTGTAAAAATCTGACATGAACATACAAACAAGCAGAACACATTTAGACATTCGAAAAGGAGTAGGAGGAAGTATAAACTTATTCTCAGTAGGTCTTTGAGTGAAATGAAACAGACAGCTTCCTTATATAGTATTATGACGTTGTCAACACATAATACTACTTCTAGCTACAAAATACGATGAGACGTTTAATGTAGACAGCCATAGTCAAAGAATATCAAGGACTTTTTATCAGTTTTACATTTTATTTTTATGCACATGTTGCATTCGATTTTCTACTCAAATTATGGTGAGAAAAAAAGATGAATTCAAACCCACAGTAAACTTGAGTTTATTAGAGGTTATGTTTATGTTGTAGACCTTTTGTCAGGCATCATTTATATGCAGTGTAAAACAATAACTCTTCATTAGATTAGATTAGATTAGATTCAACTTTATTGTCATTGCACATGTCACAAGTGCAGAGCAACGAAGTGCAGATTGTATCTAACCAGAAGTGCATAAGTAATAATTAAATAACATATGTACAGGTTGATATACAAAGCCACAGGTTGTAACAACTGATCAAGATGTAGAGTAAAATCTTAAAACACCATAACATATATATTGATTACAACATCACATCACATTTACACACATACTAAACACATAAAATAATATGTTTGTATATAAAATAACTTGTGGAATATGCTTTTTATTTAGAGAAATAATACTCACGTGTTATTGAAATATTTATATTTTTTCAAGATACATTTTTTAAATCCTGCTCTACTGAATGATATCCCAGTATTTTGTAAAATTATAAATAAAAAATCGCTTTTTAAAATTATTTATTTTAACATTAAACAAATGGTGACTAAAAATATGCATCACAAACAAATTTATCTATATAAATTACAACAGTCATAATGCATATATAGATATACACACACACTGTACATACATACATGTACGTATGCGTCAGGTACAATATGTAATTGTAGTACAACAATGAACACCTCATCCTTGCAGGAAATACAAGAAAAGCAAGACAAGTTATGATATCATAGAATAATCTTAACTCAGTGTCCCAATTTTTTGATACTGTCGGGAGCCCCTTTCTTTATATTTGATCTTTGTTCTCTACTTTTCATAATTATCATTTCCTGCATATATTAATGTTTGAGGAATGAAATGAAACAGCACAACAGTATTCATTAATATATTTTTGATCGTCTTGAAATCGCAGAATAATATTGAGAGTAAAAAGTTTTTTAGGGACTGTTTGTTATGTGTGAGATTGGATGGGGTGGTGCAAAAAGGGGTAGGCATGTCAAATAATTCTTTGAGCATGAGGGAGGGACTTATTTTCTAATTTTGGTTGAGAGGAGGGGCATATGAATTTGAATGGATGTATTTGGTATTTATTTTACCACTGATTTTTTAAGAAGCTTTTCAAGTTTCCTTTAAAAATCGCCAAAATTCCACTTTTTATCACAGCCAGAAACTGTAAAAACAGAAAATATTGTCTGATTTTCAAATTTCCAACACTCCTTGAACACACAACATGCGACAAACTCTTCCATCAGAAAAAAATCAAATCAAATCTCAGTTTAAAATAGTTACGTTTCATCAAAATCAATTTATTCTACATGTGTCATTTAAAATTTTTGCCAAAACTATCCTTCATACAGGACAAGAGTGAAAAACCAAAGCTTTTTTCAACTTCATCCATCTTCAACTTTTAACTTTTAGATGTCAAAGGGTACATTTTAAAAATCTTATAAATAATTCATGGTGGATGGAGGGTCATGCATTTTCCCCTAGGGAGTTCCTTATTTCTGATAGTTTTATCATCATTTAAACTATGTATTTTAGTATGAAATAACCCTTTTTAAAACACATTATATAATGTTACCTTCACTACATCTCAAATGTCAGTGTGTGTTGTTTGGTTTCTTATGACCTCCTCTATGCATGTCAGGCACTCATTAATCCCTGTACTATTCATTCACCACCTTCACAGATGGCATGTACCCAGATAGTAGCAGTGAGGGTCAGAGTTTGGACAGATGTGGTGTGACTGGGTGGTACGATACATTGACCTCAGTGCCCATGAGAAGGTAACTATAGTTTGTTTGAGAACCTGGGGGGAGGGGGCTGAACTTTCCTCTATATTTACTTATTAAACAAGGTTCGCCTCCTTGAATGCAGCACTCAGACAAATTGAAACACACAGGTCAGCAGAAAAAAAGGAAACAAGGCCTGTGCTGACACGCAAAATGACATTTTAAACTGCTTCAATCAAGTAGAAATCATTGTTTCTTACTGATTTCCCTCATGCACTTTATACATATCACAAATAATTAGATGTAGAAAGAGAAGTGGAATTATTAAATGAGTTTTTAAGAAAACTGAGTCTACCAAAGGTGTATATTTTGTGCATTATAGCACACACTGCCATCATTTTGACATGTCCATCTTGATGTGCCAATCTTGTAGAAAAAGTCAGAGTTGCACAAGTTTAGTTCAGCTGTTGAATAACTCTTTTTATGGTCCAAAGTCTCATCTATCCTCATAAACCTGAGAGAACTTATCTAGCTTTATCATTATTTCCCCTGACAGGTCTCCTCATGCCTATCTGATAATGACTTGTCTTCATTCAGTCGATTTGGGATGATCAAAGTCTCAATAACAAACCCACACACCTGCTCGAGCTTTAAATGTTTTGGACCGTTACCAACACCAACAGGTAGTCAGCTTTTGTTGATACAAACACAACAGGCTCCGCAGCAGACTGTTTGTGTATCAGGTTCCAGGTCTTCTTCACCTCCAGGAGCCATAACCTTTGGTCAAGTTTGTTGGTGGATCTTTAACTGGTCAACACAACCTCAGGGTTGCGCAAGTCTGTAAAGCTCTGGACGTCAGGCGTGAGCACAGGGGAAGTCAGTATACATTCACACAAGTCACCTATAGGTGAGCAAAAGTCAAGCACCTGCGCCGGGTGAAGGTTGATCCAGGTCTGTCCTGCACCTGACGACTACTGTCAATCAGCTCCATCTCAGAACAAGGTAGGAAAAGCTTTCTGATTTTACAGTGTGTGGAAAGACTTTTGTTGTAACTTGCTATGGCGACTGCTTGAGTATTTCCACATCTTTGGCAGCTGTTTTTCTGCTTCAGCTGCTTTTTAATTTCACAGTAAACGACTTTGACGATTTCATTTTGAGATTTTAAGGCAGAGAAAATGAGACAGTAATCTTGTTGACAGAAGCAAACTGAACACGCCAGCCTTCAGGGAACGTACGTTTTAGACAAATACATGACTAAGAGATAGAAATAGCCACCATCCGATGTGAGCAGACTCCTTGGCTTTTTTTGTTTAGTCAACAAAGTCATTAAACCTCGCCATCCACAATGATTGGCCTTAAATAAACAGCTACAAGCATGAGCTGTCTTCTCCTGATCTTTAACAAACAGCTACAAGCATGAGCTCTCCGGGATGTCACCTTTATAAACCGAGATCTGTAACGTCTGTGGATTTTCAGTTTTTCAAATTGGGACTGTACGACTTCTATTAATCATTTTTTACTATAAGATTCAATTTAATTTCTCAAAAGGTAACATCTGCTCTCTGGGTAATGTACAAATCCAAGTCTTGAATCTTCTTTTCATGCTTTACAGGGCACTTTCATTGATATTTGCATAATCCAGAGCAAAGACTTGACGTTGCCACACTGTAGTGTTGTAAGTCGTATGAACTTTGGTCCTGAAAAATTTTGACCAAAGTTATCTTAATAACTGGAAGTCAGACTGAGAGTGTGCTGGGTTCGCAGATCTTTATCTGACACCATTGTATTACAAATGTGTCTTGAGACATGTCAGTAAACGTGCCACTTATTTTCAGTGATGGAAAGTAACTAAGTAGATTTTTCTCAAGTGTATTTCAGTACAATATTGAGAGACATTTACTCACGTTTCAATGCTATGCTCCTTTGTACATCTACTCAACTATGTGACAGAGAGAAATATTGTACTTTTTACTCCACTACATTTCTCTGACAGCTGGTGTTACTTACAGATTTTACAAACAAAACTTGATATTGTGCTATAGATTAAACAATCTAACAGCATATAAAGAAGTTTAAATGTGCTCCACCTGCACCAGCTGCAATATTAAAATGCTGCTTAAAGCATCAGTAGATATATAATATGAAATATAATATATCAGTATAAACCTTTATTTAGTTAGGTAACTTGGTGAGATCGATATCTCATTTTCAGGAGAGACCTGAGTACATAGATAATAACACGTGTGTGAACGTGACGTCAAATATGAGGGCAATTTTTGAAGAAGTCCTTTATGAATAAACAAAAACAAATGCTAGTCTCTTCTAATAGAAAGAGAAGGTGAACCCACTTTTTGATAAAGAAAACAATAATGAGAGCTATAACTGTTTCCAGTTATGATCCAAGGGCTGAATGGTAGACAGCAGTTAGGGGGATGAGAGTGGAGGCTGCCACATGGCGATAAAATACATCTCTATAGTCTAGCACTGACAGAAAGATTGCTTCCACCATCTTCTTTCTACAAGATAGGACTGGTTTCTGTATAAAAAGTTTAATTCGTACTTATTTCGTGGCTTGAAGATGAATTTGTCATCAATCTAGATGCCTAAGTATTTATAATGTGGAACTTGTTCAATGGCCGTACCACTGCCCAGTGGTGTAATGTAATAAAAGTAATAATACTTGTTACAGTGCTTAGGTATTTTTTGGGAGTTATATTTCTGTGACCTTCCACTCTTACCCCACTAAATTTTTAATAAAATGTATACTTTTACTCCGAGACATTTTGCCTCAGCATCTTAGTTACTTACAACAAAATAGGGACCGTAGGGAGGAAGGAAGGGGTGGATGGACGGACGAATAATAACGATAATAGTGTTTGGTAAATAAAATGAAAAAGCTCAAAATCTGCTTTTTGTGAGTATCAAATATAAACTTTGCCGAGGAATGAGAGAGAAGGAAAAACTCAAAGAAGACCTTGTTTTATATACGCTCCATTTTTAGGATAGTGTACATGTTACCAAGAAATAACTTTTTTAAAATTAACAAAATTGTACTTGTACTTTTGCTACTTAAGTGCATTTTGTTCATCATAAAATTACATTTGACACTGAAGTATGGTAAATATCAGATACTTAAAGACTTTTACTGACCTTAACTTCAACCAAAGTCATTTTCCTGGCAATAAAATCTGTACTTTTAGTAGTATGGCCTTCAGATAGGTCATCCACTACTGGTGAGTGCAGTACTACTAGTTTTACTTAAATTAAAGGTATGAGTACCTCTTCCACCACTGCCTATTTGTTTTTAACTCTTATCTCTATAGATATGTTGAACTGATTGGTTACTTTAGGCACTGTCATCATTTGAAGGTACATCTTGTGACCATAATACACAGCAGTTGAATCATTTGCCCACTAGATGGCATTACCTCACTCTCTATAGTACGCACTGTACACAGGAGAGCGGAGGAAGCCCTCAATGATGATGATCTTGTGTGTTTGACAATATTTACATTTCATGTGACACTTTAAACCTTGGTTCGTCACTTAACCATTAATAACTGACATGATAGAGTGCATTGGGCTTCTGAGCGTGATTATTAAGGTGAAAGGGTTTCAATAGTGAATACGTGCTGATGTCCTGAAATGTTGTCTGGCACAATATGAAAAGTTTCGACATGTAGTGATTGCACAGGCTCTGACCTGTTGCAATGACTTTGGTGAATGTCAATCTTGTATAAATGACGAGAGAGCGCTGCTGCTGTTTCATAATAGATAGTCTTATCTGCATGGAGGGTCCTCACTGAAGGAAGGGCCAGATTTTACTTCGCATCCATTTGAGATAGTTTTCTCTGTTATTCCAGCAAATACAAGATGAGTGAACAAGAGGATTCGGTTAAAAGCAATGGTGGTGTTGCAGTCCTGGATGTTACAGATGAGAGGTATTGATACATGATCCAACACATCTTTATTATCATGTAGATTTGATCCACTTAGGACTTTTTGATTTCAAACTGTGTATCTAAAAATGTATTTTTTTCCACAGCATCTCGACCCAAAAGGAACAGACTCTGTCAGACTCCACAAACTTAAACAACCACTCCCCTGTTATCCTCAATGGCCACGCAACTAAAGCTGAGCTCAGCTCAACGTCTGAGCTGGAGGAAGCCACTGACAGACTTTCACTAGGTAAGTGTAGACACTAATCTGATGTGGGAAAAGCACCTCAAAAATGAAAAATTCTAATAACGTTCATACTGTTGGGCTGCTGATTGTAGAACAGAGTGGTTCTCAAAGGCTCCAAGACAAATCTGAGTGAGATTAACAAGACAAGAAATAAGAAAAAAGAACGTAGCTGTTCCACAAATTGTTTCTTTTTTCTGCCTTTGTCGTTTATTGTGAAATTCTTTGATTAGTTTTACCTTTAAAGACCTTTAAAAACTATTTAAATCATGTCTAAGAAGGCAGCATCACTCTTTGTTTTTACATGTAAAAACATATAAAACCAGGGGGCGGAGCCAGACATTGTAAACATTCAGGGCTGTTTCAGGGTCATGCTTCACTTGAAAGTTTTTTCCAACACATTCTCACTCCGACCTCGTCACTCACTAGGTGCGTTGGTTGTTGACGTTCTGGAACACTGTGTCAAGTTCTGCCGGTCACATGCGTTATCCTCTTTCAAAATACACTTCTGTTTTCACAGGAAATTTAACATTTACATACAGTCTCTTTCAAAATAAAGGCACTATGTCAGCAGCACCGCAAATTGATGTTTTTTCGTTCAACAACAAACACACATGGTTGGGTTTAGGAAAAAAGAACAGGGTTTGGCTTAAGAATCTTGCGGGACGCGAACACTGCTCTCTCAAGTGAAAGTCGGTGTTTATTTGACACATCTAACACCCCTCCGGCCCACCCTACTCAGACTTTCGCCACCTTAAGTTTCATCCTTGTCCAACTGCATTTCCCCCCTGACGCCACCAGGCGCCATTAAACTATAACAGCAACCAGCCACGTGTCATGCCGCATTAAAGGATGCCTTTTTTCGTCAGTTTCTAATGCCGCAAGTCACTGCCCATGCCACAGATTTCGATGACTTCAGAGTGTTTTCTATTTAATTTTTCCCAGACTGTCTTCATCATTCTGAAACTGTAACACAGCAAATGTTGAGGACAATGAATTTTCACTCTTGCCACCTAAGAAGAGGCAAAAATTGTCAAATTTTACTAGATTTAAGGCCCCAGAAACCCCCACAGCTCCGCCCCTGAATGCAACCTGTGAGAAAGGGCTGTGAAATAACAACAAAAAGAACATTTGGGAAGCTCTTTGCAATGATAAAGTACATCACATTAAAAAATAGATGTAGATTACATGTATATTTTTTTAAATAAAGCAAGGTTTTAAAGGTTTTAAAATCCCTCAAGTTTCTTTTGAACTTTGAACTTGAAGCAGAAAAGAGCAGCTTTCTCATTGACAGCAGGTTTAATTATTATTTCAAAAGAGTTGTCAGCATTCTTCGCCTTTAAAACAATCAGTCGCTTTTGAAAATCCACTTAAAAACTGTCAGGAAACCAGTGTGGGGAAGCACAAAGTGATGACTGATTATTGGTTTAGTGCCAAAGCAATCCCTCCAGCAGCATTCTGGAGGGATTGCCGATGTGTTGTAGCCTTAAATGACTCCCAAAAATAATATTGCACAACCTTTCTATCGCTTAAGGTGGAATCAGTGAACACCCATCGATTACAGCTGTATGTCTGATGTTCAGACAGAGCAAACAGTCATAGCGATTTGAGTCACTGAAATTGAAAGGGAAGTATTTCTGTGTGTCATATAAGCAACATGCTTGTGGGTGATATAGGAATTATACTGGGTTTCATAATGGAGGAAGATAACACTGATAACACATTAAGAAGGAAAGTGATCTGAAACAGTCTAACAGTGTGTTTGAGAACCTTGTGGGCATTTTTAGATGCAGTAAAGAGGCTGTTGAGTAAAAACCACCTGAGTCACTGTATCAAATGATGCACCAAAATGGTCAGCAGTTTGGCAGAAATGTGTGAGTGACCTTTGTGAAAATAGCTGTCGTGCTGTGAAATTGTTAAAGCCAGACTGAAGTTTGGAAATTAGACCTTCACCTTTAAGTGGAGTGCTCTCGGCCACATGCTTCACGGAAGAAACTGCATCTGAGGTCAAAGAGCTGTAACAGTAGATAAAATGCTTGGGGGCTCAAGTTGGTTTGTGAGAAGCTGACAGAAAGATAAAACAGATTTTTTGCTTTTTGCAGAAGAGCAAAAAATCAGTACCATCCTACTATAGAGTTTTGGTGAGATTCAGGAATAAGAAGACAGTGATGGCAGGAAAAGAATATAATGTTATGTATGATAAAAAAAAAGGCAAAGCAAATAACAGGAGGGAATTAGAGCAGCACATTTGTGCAAAACAAACACACCATTATTGTGTCTCTGTCCTCAGAAGCTTTCATCTACTCTACTGCACTGAAACCATATTAGTTCCTCTAACCAAACCTGATTGGTAGGTAGTCACAGACATTCCTGTTTTGTCTCAGGTAACAGTATTGGCTCCTCCCGCCTGCTCACTGCACAACCTACAAATCATGTTGCCCTGACATACCAGGTGTCACGAACCCACAGGGGTAGTCCAGAGATTTCTGCAGTCCTCTCACACACCTGGTTCTACCTCTAAAGCTTGCTGTGTCTCTGTGTGGTGTGGGTGTCTTCTGACTTTCATTAATGGCGGGTAAATGCGGCTGTCCCTGTTGTCCCTATGAAGAAGAGCCCAAGGCGGTCCCCCTGCAGGCGTCAAACGCGCTGGCACCTCTTGCACCAGCTGATGAGCTATGGAGCAGCAGCAGAGACAAGGCAGTCAGGCTGAGGATGGAGGGCTCGGGTCCAGCCTCGGAGACTCCAGTGACAGTCCATCAGCGGTTCCTGGAGACGGTGGAGAAATATGGGGATCATCCAGCCTTGGCTTTCAAGAAAGAGGGTCACTGGGTGAAGGTGTCATGGAGGCAGTACTATGAGCAGTGCCGGGCAGCAGCTAAAAGCTTCCTTAAGGTTTGTTTGTTTGCTAATTGACTTGTTCTGCACAGTGCTGCAAAAAGTTCTCAGATCTTTTACTTTAAGCTCTGATATTACACTGTAAAAGTACTTAAAAGTGCAAAAGTATTGGCATCAATGCAGTTTAAGTACAAAAATCACGCAGAATTTCCCATTACAGAATAATGCATGTTGCATTATTGGATTACTTAGTGATGCATGAATGTGTTCAGCACTTTAATATTGCAGCTGGTAAAGATGGAGTGAATTTTAATTACTTATATGCTGCTGGGTGGTTTAATCTATAATAATATATCATAAGTTGATTTATATTTTGTGCTAATAATCTGAATCTGCAAATTAACTAAAGGGTTAAAATAAATCAAATGGATTCAAAAGTACAATAATTGCCTCTGAAATGTAGTGTAGTAGAAGTATAAAGAAGCAAAATAGAAATGTACTTGGTCACATTTAACCACTGGTTCTGCATAAACTGCATAAACATAAAGACACATTTTTCGGTATGTTTGCTCTCTACTACAGCACACTGTATTTTGAATGAGACACTAACTGTGTTAAGTTGGCCTTAAGCTTTAACTTAGCAGTGGTTACTTCTGCTTTGGGTCAACAATATAGGAACTGTAGCCTTTTTTATACGAACTGTAGGAACAGAAACTAGCCAGGTTAAATTAATTCATTGTATTTAACACATTTACACACTCAAAGTTTTAAAGGAGCTAAATCATATTTAATGATATGACCCAAAGACAGACACTTGGTCATCTTTAACGATGATATTCTCCTAGACTTTTACTGCAGCCATCCTCATTGCTTTCTTGCTTCAGAGACGACATGTCTTCAGCAAATAAATATCCTGTTGGGCAGTAAAAAAGTCTTAGTTGTGTTTGTATGTTCAGGATCATTGTTCTCCTAAAACTGGAGGAGCAGGGATGAAAACATGCTACAAAGTCTACACCTAATGCAGATATAAAGACCCTCAAACACCCTTAAAGTTAAAAGTCAGTCACTCTTTCATTCAAATCAAGGGCGCTGAAGCCAAAACACTGAACATTTTCACTACATTAGCTCTTACACCTGTGTGCACCATATGCGATATTCTACATTTATAGTTTCAGGTCATTTATTATCAAATGTACAATTATAGAAGCAGTAGTTGTCAATGAAAATGTTTCAAATGCATGTCTCCAGCAATGCTAATTACATGAGAGAAAAACAAAATCAGAATCTATGACATAAAATAGTGCAAGTTAAAATAAGAACATACAAGTATTGAAAGGTAAAGTGACAAATAAGTAAACTTAGATAAAGGTAAAGTTACATTTATAAAAGTAAAACGACAAGTTAGTAAAAGTATATAAAGGTCAAATGAATATATAAAGGTTAAGTGACGAGTGCATAAAGGTATACAAAGTGACATAAACATTTCAAGTTATAAGCTGTTAGAGAGTTATAAGGTGAACTAGTATAACAGAGGTTTGTTGATTCAGTAGAGGAATTGGTGTGAGATGCACATGAACCTTATTTGAGGAACTACAGGCCTCACAAAACTTCAAATTCCTGTTTGCACCTGTTTTGTAAACAGTACCTAGGATTGTCCTCCCTGTCTCACTGTATTCTACATGGTGTGAGAAAGAGCTGCTGAAAATGAACACCTGGGCGTGTGAAATTCACAGCTTGTGTTTCGTCTCTTGTTTCATGGACATGTTCATATCCTATGAGGTGGAGTGGCTCTTGAAACAAGATGTAGGTCAAGAGTAATGGAGGTGCTGTGTCATTAAAGATACATGCTCTTTAAAACAAATTATTAAATAAATAAACTTGTCCTCTTTCAGTTGGGGCTGGAGCGTTACCGTGGTGTGGGGATTCTGGGATTTAACTCCCCCGAGTGGTTCATCGCAGACATCGGCTGCATCTTTGCCGGGTAAGATCACGTTTAAGGAAGTGAAGCTAATAGAATTCCATATAGACCATGTTGGGATGTCTCAGCATTGTTTTCACCTGACACTGTACATTTATCTCTGTCCACGCTTATTGACACATCTCTGTGTCCCTGCTTGTACCTGTTTGGGTTGTAGTTTATGCACCAATTCAAAGACTTACATTTACTGTGAAGCGAGGATGCAACTTCAATTTCTGCTGTAGATGAGATATACAGTAAAACAAAAGTCTGGAATTAAATCATTAATGCAGAAATTGTGTTTTAACTTCGGACTGTCAACGTTTTGGGGTATTTTACATTTTTCATGAGCTGTTTTAGTTTGGTTGACAGCTCTTGGATTGTTTTAAAACGCCATTTAGGTTGTTCCTAGGATAAAATCCTTTGTATAATTGTGTAAGAAACCTTATTTATGATTTGATGATCACGTTTTGGTTAATTTGAATATTGTGGCATGTCTTAACCCATTGTCAATAATACCTATTTTGGCCTGGACGTGCTTGAAAAATAGATTTAGCTAGGCTTGTGTGGTTAAAATAAGATTAAAAATATACATGCAATGAAATTTGTGCATTCAACAAAGCTTTCTCCTATATCTGATTTGTGCTATAGGGGTCTGGCAACCGGAATTTACACCACCAACTCACCTGAAGCTTGTCGCTATGTGGCTGACAGCTGTGAGGCCAACGTCATGGTGGTGGAGGACAAGAAACAGCTTGACAAAATCCTGCAGGTCGGTTTATTGGTTATTAAAGTGCCTGCAATAACAGTTTGCAAAGAAAGAAAAAAAAATCTGGCCCCACATTTCTTAGTTAAATTTGTCTTTTCCAACAGATTAAAGATCAGCTACCTCATCTGAAAGCCATCGTCCAGTACAAGGGCGAGCCACACCAGAAAGCACCGTTCCTGTATTCAGTACGTTCACTCAGCAAACATACTAATGAAACAGACAAGTCATATGGTTATAAAGAATGTGATACTGTACACACAGTATCTGATGCTGATGCTTACTAAGATACACTTTTTTATTTTACCACAATCTCTGTATTTGTGTAGTGGGCAGAGTTCATGAAGCTGGGAGAGGACATCCCGGATGCAGAGCTGAATGCTGTGATTGACAGTCTTCGGGCCAACGAGTGCTGCACTCTCATCTACACCTCTGGAACCACTGGCAACCCTAAAGGAGTCATGTTGAGCCATGACAACGTGAGTTATCCAGACTAGAGATTTTTCTTTTCTTAGCTTTTATATTTATCACACAAATGACACAGGGCTGCAACTGAATGTTGTTTTCATTATCAATTAATCTGATATTTTTCCAAACAAGCATTTAGTTTATAAAAAAGTCAAAAGTAGGGTGGTGAAGAGAGAGTCTGTAACCACAACTGCACAGAATCATACAAAAAGAGCAATTACACCTAATAGATAGTGCAAAGGCAAACAGATGGCGTTGGGGGAGGGAGACGAAGCGAGAATGGAATGAAATGGAAATGATTGAAGAGGAGCTGGATCATTTACATGATATTATCATATGTGCATTATTAACACCACTTTTAAATATCAGTTACCATCAACATCATTATTTTCCAAACACCCCTAGACATGTATGTAAAAGTTGTAACACCATAGAACAGTAGTAAAATAGTCAAAAACATGTACACAGAGTTGAAAAAATGTGTATTTTTTTAAAAGCACAATATATTGCAGACCTTTATCAATATTAAGATTCATGGTAGGAATCAAATTTTCCATCAGAATACTGGGAGATAATACAACATTTTAACATCATCCAATTAAGTGTTTATTTTTGTAAATGAAAAGAGGAGGATCCAACATGGAGCCCTGTGGAACTCCAGAAACTGCTACAATATATATTCTAAGTACTATCAGGCAGGTAGCACCCAGACCAGATGCTTTTACCACAAAGCTCTTCCCTCCCTAAAGAGGGTCTTTTAGAAAAATATATTTGAGGCACATTTATTTTTCCCAACCCTTTCACTGCCATATTTGGGTCGGCCCTGATGACTTAAAGATCACAGCTAACCAAGCAACAGCCGTGGCCTCCTCTACACTAGTCGACGACTGATTCTCTTCAAATGTAAAAAAAAAAGAGAGAGACTGTAACACCCTTTCATGAACACTGGCTGGTGGATGTAAAGAACCACCTCAAACTCAAACAGCTAAACCATACTACTACTACAGGCTCAACCGAAATGTTTTATAGGATCTGGCACATTTTCTGCTCCGTTTTAATTTTTGCATGTGTGTGGCGGATGTGGGCTGATGCAGAAGTTGGTGTGTGTGTTGTGGGTGAGTCTGTGTGAGCAGTTTGTTTGCTGATTAGTAAAAATAATCAAGAGAAACATTTTAATAGGAAAACTGTCGCATGACTCCTCTCCCATTTTTTTTTAATGTGCAGCTGACATGGACGAGCCGTACTGCAGCTACTTATGTAGATATCAGGTACGCTGAGGAGGTGGTGGTCAGTTACCTGCCGCTCAGTCACGTGGCGGCCCAGCTCTGCGACATGTGGATGGGCGTTAGTTATGGCATTACCACCTACTTTGCAGAACCAGACGCCCTCAAGGTAAGAATGCCTACTGTAGTATATGCATATAATATTTAATGAAAGTTTCCGATTTTGATTATAATCCCTTATATTAACTTTTTCCAGGGCTCCTTAGTAAACACAATGAAAGAGGCTCGTCCAACTTGTTTTATGGGGGTTCCTCGTGTGTGGGAGAAGATGCAGGACAAGATGAAAGCTATGGCTGCAAAGGCATCCCCAATGAAGAGATCAGTGGGGGACTGGGCCAAGTCCATAGGCCTGCAGTACAACTACAGTGTCATGAACGGGTGAGACAGCAGCAAGGATCCTTTGTTAGAATTCAGCAAGAACACATCATTTACTTGAGCTCTCCTCTCTCTGTCCTAAGCCCCTCCCACCAGATGACCTTGGGTATATGCACACACTTCATACAGTCACCCAGTGTTTCCTATACATGGATTTATTTAATCTTATTTACACATAGCTCTTTCACTCAGCCCCTATTTGCCTTACTGTCTCTGTTTATCAGACCACAAATGTAGCAAGAATTAGTAAGCTAGCCATCCCACGTTCCCTCTGCCTCGCTCCCTGCTGCTGTGCACTGCTTCCACGGGAGGAGTGTGGGCAGCAGCTTGGGAGACGGACCTTTGGTTGGCAGCTGTAGTGGCTCGAATTCAGCCAGCCCAAACCCCCCTGGCACCAGGTGTCACTGCGGGCTGGTGGTCAGCAGCAGTGCCGGGTCTTACCTTTGTAACAACAGCAGAATGTTTGCTGATCTGTTGGGGAGTTGGGACTGCTGTCCACTCCACCAGGAGCTGGGGTTTGCGCTGGCTGGATACAGGATGCTATGGTTGCTGATAGGAGTCTGTCTCCGGAGCTGCTGCCTGCTCTCCTCCCAGCTAGATGGTCTGTAGCAGCAGGGAGTGAGGCAGAGGACACAATGTGATTCAAGGCTCACCAAAGCCTGAAAACAGAGCCGAGAGGAGGTGCAGAAGTCCAGTGTTCTCTCAGACCACTTACAATATACTCAAAGTATAGTTTTTCCCAGTGAGGCCAAAATTAAACTGCCTACCCCAGCTTTAACTACTAACTAATCAATTACAAGCAAAAGTCTTATATTCAAGATTTTACCTACGTAAAAAGACTAAAGTATTTAAGTAAAATTACTTGTTGGGGAGAGTTATATCACTATGTATACATATATCATATCATTGGAATGTTAATAATGGATTTTCAGCATGTAAGCAGCATTTAAATGATGTGTTAAATTTGTTTTACCTGCTATTGGATAGTTTAATGTATAGCACAGTATCATATTTTATAAATTGATCACATTTTGTTTGTAAAATTTTGATATGTAACGGAACTCAAGCTGGCAGGTAAATGTAGTGGAGTAAAATATATCCCTTCTGACCATGTTCTTAAGTAAATTTTACTTTATTTTTTGGGTCACAGGGAGAATCAGGTGCCGTGGGGCTTCATGCTGGCCAATAATCTGGTCTTCAAGAAGGTCCGTGCTGCGTTGGGTTTAGACCGCTGCAAGTTCTGCTTCACAGGAGCTGCCCCCATCACCAAAGACACTCTGGAGTACTTCATGAGCCTGAACATCCCTTTGCTGGAGCTATACGGCATGAGTGAAAGCACCGGCCCTCATACCATCTCCCAAAATGACAATTACCGCATCACAAGGTCAGCAGCAGAGCATTACACGTTAGCTGTGACTAAAGTGTGTTGTTAATATGGATGTGAATACTACAGGGTGCTGTGACAAACTGTTTGTGATTTGACCTAAAGGGGAGCTTCAAAGATTTTACACATTTCTGTTTACAAGTGATGTCACTTTCAGTCAGCGTCAGTTGTAGTTGAAGACTACAGGTTTGGGGAAAAAATCTGGCATTGTGGCGTTGGAAGGAAGTGACCTTACTTGACCTTTGCAGCTATTAGCATAAAACAAATGAATAAAATAAGAATCTGGGGGAACAGGACTGTATTCTGAGGTCACACTTTGCCACTCAGTCCAACTTCTCATTTTCATCAGACCAAAATAATTCTGGATTTTTGATAAACATTAAGATTTTTAGGGAGTCCCATCCAAATCTATTATCTAACTGTTGGTGCTTAAGTTGCATTATGGGTAATGTAGGCTGTTCCACTTAACTACGATTATACTAAATCGATGGAGGAGTGTTTTAAAAGTTGCACTTGCCAATATTATCATAGATTTAATCCTAAATGAAAAAGTACCATCTCTAATAACTGGTTCAAGCCATGTGAAAACTTTGCACTCGTTCGTGAGGTCTCCTCACAATAGTGTGCAACATTTTGTGATAGTATATGGGGTATGTTTGTTCCAGTTTTGAATCCTGTGTTTTAAAGCAATTTGGGCTGCATCTTTGCATAAACAGTGCTATATAAGTAAAGTAATTATTATTATAGCTTTTCTTGAGACATTAATTTGTTTTAAGAGGCCACAAGCCCAAAAAAAGTTGGGAACCACATGTTTAGATAAACATAAGATAATTCTCAAAGTTCACTGACATTATGTTCTTTCTATGTACTAAATTTTGGGGGGGTGCAGTTGTAGTGGAACTTTTGGTCACGTCAGGTCTAAGTGAGCACGTTGTTGACTTATGATTTGTCTCTCCAGCTGTGGAAAGTTGATGGCAGGCTGCAAGACAAAGCTGGAGAACCCAGATGAGCACGGGAGTGGAGAGATTTGTTTCTGGGGTCGGCACGTCTTCATGGGCTACCTGAACATGCCGGAAAAAACAGCGGAGGCTCTCGACCAGGACGGCTGGCTGCACTCTGGAGATCTGGGAAGACATGACCAGAATGACTTTCTGTACATCACAGGAAGGATCAAGGGTAAGCTGTGGTCTCATTGGTTGGAAACCACATGACTACACTGCCTAAGCCACCATTTACACATTGATCCATCAGTATTACCAATCTAATAATGTCATATTTATTAACATATTAGTCACAGGGTACATTTTTGTCTGCAGAACAAATAGTAGTAATATTAGTAATATTTTGAATGCAGGACTTTAATTAATTAACTTTGATTTCTACTGCAGTTCTCTTACACTGTTGTATTGGTACTGTTACATTAGTAAAGGATCTAAGTACTTTACTACGTACTTGAAAGTACTCAATGAGAATTTGGCACATGCAAGTGAACTTTTTCAGGACAATTTATCTAATCTGATACAAAAACATAACTTTACAGTACATTCTGTGCAGTCTTGTTACCTTTACTGTAACTTCTTCAATATTTGTTTTTTTTTGTTTGTTTTTTTATTAGTTAGTAGTGAAAGGAAGTTGGCCTTAAAGGAACACATGAGCCATTTTTAACCAGGACCTTATTTTTCCATGTTTTTGTGTCAAAATGAGTAATGGAAAGAACATTTTTTGAGATTGGTTCGATATGAAGACAGGCTGCTGCAGTTGGCAACCATCAGAGTTTTTGTTTTTGCCACCGACAGGTTCGGGTTGTTATGTAAGTGCCTGATATCATTATGGAAAGGATCCTCCTGAGAAATTAAATGTTTTTCTGTACTTTAAGCTGATTCAGTCTGTTTGATGTTGTGTGTAACCATACTTCACATGCTGAACATTTCAAACTGTGTGGACCTTGAACTAATGGCTAAGAACAAATCTGGATCCTGTGGCTGGACCAGTTGGGAACCAATGCTTGAGCACATTCTTCCAGGCACCCCTCTCTCAACTCACACTAATGTTTTCACTGTTGTTTTTCCTGCAACAAGTCACCTCTCACGAGATTTCAGAATGACACTTCTCCTTGAGCGAAGCCTGGTTACACACAATAACAAACTGATTGGATCAAGATAAGGAAAAACATGTCATTTATCTGTAGGATCCTCCCTCCAATGTTGTCAGACACCTAAAATATCAATTTGAGCCTGTCAGTGGCAAAACAAGCAATTTTAATGGACATAAATTGATGGTGCACGATATTTTTCCACTGTGAGTTCTTAATGAGACAAAATTTGCGCATAAAATGGAGGAAAACAACCCAATGCAGTGTTTTGTCAAAAACTTTGTTAAATTTTAACATTGGACTCTGAACATTGTCAAACAGGTGACACACTTCTGAAACTTAACTGTGTTTTTTGCACAGAACTGATCATCACCGCCGGTGGAGAGAACATCCCTCCTGTGCCCATCGAGGACGCAGTGAAGGCCGAGGTGCCCATCATCAGCAATGCCATGCTGCTCGGAGACAAACTCAAGTTCCTCTCCATGTTCCTCACTCTCAAAGTAACCAGACCTCCATTCCTGCACACAGTCACAGCTGCTAAAAAAAAACAAAAAAACAAGAAAAATAAAGAGCCTCTCTGTTTCCACAGTGTGTCGTGGATGACAATGGCGAGCCCACAGACGAGCTGAGCCCCGAGGCTTTGAGCTTCTGCCAGCAGCACAATGTCAAGGCGACCACGGTGTCAGAGATCATAGCCAATAAGGAGCCAGCTATCTACAAAGCCATCCAGGAGGGCATGGAACGCGTTAATGCCAGAGCAACGTCCAACGCCCAGAAGGTCCAGAAGTGGGTCATACTGGAGCGAGACTTCTCCGTCAGCGGAGGAGAACTGGGTGAGTTTTATTTCCTTCCTCTTGGTTTAAAAACTGGAGCAAAGGTCTCGATGTGACGCTGTTGTTTCAGGACTATTGACTATTGCTGTCATTCAAGTTTAATCAGCTTTTAATCTAAGTCATGTCATCATCAGATATGTTTTGTGGCTGTACCGCATGCCAGAGAACATTCCAGTGAAGTTTTGTTTGAGAGAGATCAAATCTGTCCCTTTAAATCTTTTAAAGCTGCAGTGGATCAAATGTTGCATGGGTGTCGCTCAGCAGAAACTGAATCTTTAGCTTAAGATTTAATTTGAATTAACCTGCTTTTCCTGTCTGTGCAGGACCCACCATGAAACTGAGGCGACCCATTGTTGTGAAGATGTACCAGGAGAAAATAGACACACTGTATGCAGAGGCAACAAAAAAACAATAGACTGCTCTGCAAAGAGATGAGACAATACTGAAGAGAGGTTTGAGGCATGTTTACGTGCTCAGACATCATACAGAGAAATTTTTAAGTTTAATGCGTAACCCTTCATCTATGGTCCGATTGGGTCTGAAAACTTAGATTTAAAGAAATATAATGATGCGCTTTATTTCTCTATCTCCAATCTTTTTTTCACCTGAATATTAAAAGTGTAAAAGAGATTTATAATTTAATGGGAAAAAATCTTTGTTCCTAAATGTGTTGTATTTAATGGAATAGAAGTTTGTGCTGCTATGTTTTGATATGTTTCTGTTGACTGTTCCAAGTTGATATTTTAGCTGAATTGAATGTACATACGGTTTCACAGCAGCTGTGCACATTTTGTAAATAAAACAAATCAGAGCCAAAATCCTGCCATTTACTATATGGCATATACAGGTGAATTATACACTATCAAACTGGTGTAAGTAATCATTTTTACAGTTTATGAAGGAAATTTTGTGAATCCACTGTGGCCGAAAAGATGAAACCCTCTTGTATTGGTCATGAGCATGCCGGTATGTATTTTTTTTTTTTTTTTTTTTTGAGGCAGCAATATCTACTTAAAGATTTTACAGAATTAATTGCCAGTTTCTAGTCTTGCATTGTGAGATAATCCTCATCTGGCAAAGCTGCAGACATTCCCTCTTAAAGACTGGAGGTGATGTCTGAATAAGTATTTTTATAATAACAATATCAGTTGTTTAGTAATCTCTCTAATCACAGGTGCAAATTGTAAAGCTTATATTTTTAATTTATGCTTCTCCATGTACAGTTTGACAAATATTGAAATGGTTATTTTCTGATAGATGTTCCATGACTGTCAATAAAAAGTGAGTGATTTGTCAAAATTGTGTGCTATTTTATTTTTAATTTTTATTTTCATTCATCCCTTCTTGTGTATTGGATGTGTACAGTGATAAGAGGGATCTGAGAGCTACTGCTGTGCTACAGTTTTGCTGTAAATTATCAAGCAGCATGGCGCAAAACAGAGAAAGACAGCTGGAATAAGCAAATTCAATTCAATTTCAATTGTATTTATAAAGTCCAATATCACAAATCACAGTTTGCCTGAGAGGGCTTTACAGCAAACAACATCCCTCTGTTCTTTGGACCCTCACAGCAGATAAGAAAAAACTCCCCCCAAAAACCTTTTAATGGGAAAAAAAGGGTAGAAACCTCAGGAGGAGGCATCTATGCTTATCTTGAAAGTCAAAGTTTGATTAATGTTGTGACCAACCTAATTGTTAGTGATTCATTTTCAGTCAGGTTTGCATCTAATTGTTTTATTCATTTTCTCATAAACGCTTATTCTGTTAGGGGTCACTTGGGGGCTGGGGCCTATCCTAGCTGATTGGGCAAGAGGCGGAGTACACCCTGGACAGGTTGCTAGACAGACAACAATTCACTCTCACATTCACACCTACAGGCAATTTAGGGTGTTTTCACACTTGGTCCTTTTCAACCCTCAAGGGGGTTTCTGTGAAGTGCTTTATCTAGACACATTTTCCCCACAAATACAACATGCTAATGTTATTAGCACAATGTTATGGCATTTTACATTGTATAAATTAGCCTAGCAGCTAGCTAGCTAGTTTCTTATATAAAACCAAGGACAACAGCAGCATTTAACAAAGGAAACATTACATAATTCGGTTCCATTACAACTCACGAGGTTCTTCGACAAAACATCTGTCTTATACTTAACACGTTTTCCAAACAAATATAACATGCTAGCGTTATTAGCACAAGCCTAAGGCATTTTACATTGTATAAATTAGCCTTGTTACTAGCTGAGATTTCCTCTGCTCATATGAAGCTAGGATAAATCCCCAAGTATAAATCCCTTAAGCATAAATTACACACTTAAAATGCAAGAAAAAACATAGAATAAAACTCAGGCACCACACATATGCTTCTCTCAAAAGTAATGTCTGTTACCTTTTCACATTATTTGGAGGGCTTTTTTCATCTTTAGAGGGTTTAAGAGGTTAGTAACTGGGTGATGAATGTTTTTACTCAGGCTTCACTCATTTATTGAGAATGTGATGTTAAAGTCACACTGTGTTACATTTTTTTTGTTCAGAGGATCACGCTGTATTATTGTGCCTGCTACACTGATAAGCAACAGTATTTGGACAACTTAATCAAGATAAACAGCATAGATCCTGGATTACAGACGCACATGTACTACATCTACTCACATACCTAGACACTCTTATATTTGGACTGAGTGCATACACTTCAGTAATAGAAATAACAGAGCGCAGTCCTCAGAACATGACAGCTCCATCCCCTAGAGTGTGACCTATCTTCACATTCTCTATCATTGATAACCTCATTACCCAAAGGATCAAGTTTGACAGGGGTCAGTTTGGGATGGTGTACAGTGACAGTGCCATAGGCAACAGCTACAAGCAAACATGGACAAAATATATAAACTACATCATCGAACAGGGCTTAAATGTATACTATGTGCAGTTGGTCTTGAGCTCTTTGCCCTTATTTATTTTCATTTCTGATTTGTTTACTTTAATTGCATGTCATTTCTTGCTGATTTGTTTGGCATATACTGCAGTTCTGTCTTGTCACCAAAACGTCTTGTGACTGTGCCGCATGCCAGACAACATTCCTGTCAAGTTTGTTTTGATAGGGATCAAATCTCTTCCTCTACAGACCATTTAAAAGCTGAAGTAGGTCAAAGGTGATGTGGGTGTCACTCAGCAGAAACAAAATTATGTAATTTGAGATTAAGATCACATTAGCTGCTTTTCCCGCAGCACCCACCATGAAACTGTGGAGGCCCATTGTTGTGGAGATGTGCCAGATTGTACCCAAATGTCATGGTGATAAATACATAGACATCTTCTGACCTGAATGTGACAAGTTCAAGAGAGGTTTGAATCTAAGTAGAAAAACATATTGATTCCTGATTGTGTTGTATGAATGTAATAGAGGTTTGTGCCGCTACGTTTCTGTTCCAAGTCGATATTTAGGTTGTCAGATTTACATACAGTTTCACAGCAGCTGTGCACATTGTGTAAATAAAGAGCAAAAGTCTGCTTTGTGCATATACAGGTGAATTGTACACTATCACACTGAGAAAAACTGCATGATGTCAGTCAAAGAGTACATTTTGTGAAAGATGAAACATCTAGAAAAATTCCCTTTACGTTCACAAACATATCAGATTGCATTCTTGGACAACTGGTTGTGTTACTAGAGCAGTGTTTAAGGTAAAGTTACAAAGGCATTTCACTTAAAACTGTTTTGGTTCAGTCGACAGTAATGAGATTAAATCGAAACATCTTATCCTCCAACGTTGTTTGAATATTTAAACTGTTTGGGCTAATGGCTGCACGCTCACGATTGGCTCTTTGGCATCTGACCGAGTGCACTGATGATACTGAAATCAAGTCGAACACATTTGGGACATCAACACACTCATAACTCTTCACCCATCACTGCATCACTGAACACAAGGAGGCGGACACATAATTGGCCCTGTTTTACCTGACCTTTAATCCAATTTTAAATGTTTCATCATTTTCTACCGGGCATACTTTAGGTCAATATAGAATAATTAATATAAAATGAGTCTTTTCCTGACCCGTGATCAACCAACAAAGTTTCCTGCATATTAGCGTAAATGTATGAATCATGCTTTTATAAAAACACTCCTCTGCTGTGAACGACTTGAGACTCTCACATCCTCGCTTAAATGCAGCAGTAAAGATTTTAACCACATGGGACAAATAAAAAGAAAATACATCAAGACTTTCACCTCACTCTTCACATACCTCTCAGCATGGTGCACCACATACCACACCCTAAGGCCAGTCAGTTGTTTACATTTTACAACATACACCTGCATTTACATCAGCTTTGGGTGTGGCCCAACGTGCTGTATACTTGACCTAGAATTACCCCCTCACAGTTGCATGCCGTGGCAGTTCAGACTGGAATGCAGCCATGATAGTTGACAATGCTTCAATATGGATGTTGCAGCAAAGAAGCTACATATTCTAAAGTAAGAGGTGACTTTGGCTCAGAGGTAGAGTGGGTCATCCACTAAATGGGAGATCAGCTGTTCAGTTCCCAGCTCCACAGCTGTTGAAGTATCCTCGAGCAAGATACTGAACTTGTCTATGTGTGAGTGTGTTAAAAACTGAGTAGCAGGTGGCTCCTTGTATGGTAGCCTCGACCACAAGTGTGTGTATGAATGGGTGAATGTGACTCAGATGTGGTTGGACGGCCCATTTACATGCCTCACATATCTTCAACCCAGCAGCACAGAGGATCTCTACAATCACCACAGTTTGGTGGACACCCAAGATAGGTGTCACCAGTTCAGTAGGCTACGTGACCAAATGTCTTCCCTTGATGATGTTGAGTAATGGCCAGAAAAGTGTTTTTGCAGTACATCATGATGTCACGGTGCGTTTGACCTTTTTGGATATAAAACGCCATCACTCCATCATTTTATTCTATTAGACATTTGTGTCAAATAGATCGATAGATTTGTGCCAAAAACAAGTTTTATTAGGTCACAGTGGTCTTGACCTTTGACCACCAAAATGTTATCAGTTCATCCTTGACGTCGACGTTTTGCCAAATTTGAGGAAATTTCCTCGAGGCGTTCTTGAGCTATTGTGTACAGACGAATGTACAGATGTACAGATAACTTGAAAACGTAATTCCTCTGGCTGTCACTGGCGTAAAAATCTAACATCATATTAGTGCAACATTTTCTGTCATGGTGGAGTGAAGGGACTGCTGGCAAAGCTGCTGCTGCACCTCCTCTGTCGTTTTGCTGCTCTTGTTCTGTATGTCATTTTATACTCTGTAAGTTGACCTTGGGTGTTTTGAAAGGCGCCTTTTAAATAAAATGTATTATTATAATTTATTATGGCCATGTGTGATTAGCATAGATATGCCCTTTAAACACTGCAAAATTATATAACGTTGTAACCTAGGATTAAAAAAAAACATGACAGTCTCCCATATTTAACAGCTAATGTGCCGTCTATGGTGTTGAAGATCTTCGTGTGAGCTTTAATCAGAGGTCAAATTGCTGAATAGTTGATAACACATCACACAATGCACAGAAGTTCTCAGACTGCAGTTCCAGCACAAATCACCCTTAAACAGTTTTGTTAAGTGCATGTTTATTTTATGGAACTGATACAGCACATAATGTGGATTTAAGTACTCCTGTGAGTACACTGTGCAACAATAGCTGGAAGTAAAAGTGTAGTGGAAGTGTTGTTGGCACAACGCTGCCCCCATGTGGCTGAAAGCATGTAAATCATTCACATGTATAAGTGCAGTGAACATTCATGGAGCAATAATAACTGGTTACCACTAATGGTAGGAACACCAACATGATTAAATGGTAAACTTATTAATGAAGGTTTACAGACATATAAAAATAAGAATATGTCAAAGGAACAGTGCGCCCCAAAATCAAAAATACATATTTTACTTCTTACATGTACCGTGATTTATTTACGTAGATTATTTTGGTGTGACTCGCTGAGTGTTGGAGATATCGGCTGAACAGATGTCTGCATTCTCTCCAATATGTGCCTCGATGGCACTCGGTTTGTGGTGCTCAAAGCGCCAAAAATAAATACATTTTAAAAACTCAAAGGAAAAATATGTATTTTTTGATTCTGGGGTGAACTTTGCCATTAGGCTAAACAAGAGTAGATTAAAAGACATTCATCAGATAGGTTAGGCTGTATTAGGCAGTTGTACTGTAATATTCAGTAGCAGGCTGTGAAGACAGGACGTAAAGGGCGAGTTAGTTGTATCTAACCATGAAGATAGCTTTGGCATTATTTGCCCAGGGGTCAAGATATCAGTTCTGTAATTTCTGCTGTTGCCACAATAAAATTGAGGTGAAATGAATTTTGTTTGTTGTGTTCACAGCATTGAAAATTAGATTTAAAAAACTCTGTGTAATTCACTGAACATGAAGTTACAGTGAAACCTGGTTAAGGTGTGGTCTGTGAAATAATGGATTTTTTTTTAGGCCACTTACTCTGCAAACGCAACACTGACACATCATCACCTAAAAACTGGCAGTTGCTTATGTACATATTAAGAGGATACAGAAACACATAAGCGTTTATTTGAAGAAAAATAAAAATAAAAAAAAAAAGAATAGGAGTCCATGATACTCCATTTGGCTCCGTTTCGGACTCGACCAACTTCCAAAGGAAAATGTGGCTTAAAGATAAAAAACATCGACTGACCAGCTCACTCAGCGTTAAAGTCCACAGTACAGTACAGGAAGGCGGTCCAAAAATGCATCGGAGGGCTCTGACGGTAGTTAAAAATCCTTTATTAACACATGGACAACCAATGCGTTTCGACAAGATAGTCTTCATCAGGGTTCAGGATTTTTAACTACAGTGCGTCCGATGCATTTTTGGACTGCCTACTTTTATGATGAACTTTTACACTGAGTGAGCTGGTCAGTTGTTTTTTATCTTTAAGTGACTCTTTGCCCAATTCTTGAGGAGCACCCTGTTTTTTTTTACATCTACACAGAGCATTAACCCAGTGCAGCACTCCTTATTTTTACCTCATTATCAGGAAAATGTGGCTGTTTAGTTGCTAAATGCTCGACAAGCCAGTCTCTAATTTTGTCTGTCTGCTTTTTGGTATGTGGCAGGTTGCATACAATGAATTTATCAGAGCTATTATTGTAGTGAGGATGAATAAAAACAGTAAAGTTGTGAGCTGTAAATCTGAAACAGAAAACTTTCCTTTGCCTCTGTTGTATCAGGGGCAGAAGCAGAAAACTCAAAGGCGGATACTTTAAAACCTAGACAATTTTAGAAAAATATGGCTAGATATAACTTAAGATTGGTGAACCCCCCTTCATTAATGCCAACGTTGGCGTCTTCTCTCTTATTTGGTCGTCATGGAAACTCCCTTCTTGACCCAGGCATTGCTGTTGAGCAGAGAGAGCATGAAGCGAGCCACATCTCCTCTTGCCACAGCGCTGCCCGCAGGGTGACCACTGCTGTCAGGCACAAAGTATCCCTCATGGGTCAGAAACTCCTGAGCTGTGGAGGACACAGAGAGGAAAAACTGGGAGTCAGAGGTTATTACAACAACAACTTTTTCATTTGGTCTTTAAAGGAATAGTTCTGATTTTGTGAGCGGGGTTGTGTGAAGTACTTACTTTCATACTGATTGTATAAAAACATTTTTCTCACATGCCTCCACGTGAACTTGTGCAGTAAAATTCAAGTCTCATTTATCCAGTTGTATGTTCAGTACTCCAGCCCTTTCTGACAGGGAACTGAACTTGAACTGAAACTTATCTGTGCTCTCGTTAAAGCCAGACTCGCTTCACATAAACAGCAATTTTACTTCGCTGAACACGAGAGCTGCTGGTCTACTGCTGTGTTATTGTGTGACTTTGATGAATCCGAACTCACCCTTTAAAACACAAAGAAGGGCTCAGAAAGGGCTTTCCACATGAGACTTGTGTGGGAGTTTGTTGACGGATGTTTTGACATAGTTTTGCAGATGGCTATGACTTCGACTCATGAAGAATTTGTTTTTGAGTCATGCGAGAGAATCATTTTCTTCACAAATTCATTGTTACACAGGGTGAGTTATTGATGATTTGGTGAGATATTCCTTTGAGTACAGTGCTTGTAAAGTAAAAGGCACAAAACAGTGTACCCTTTATGGAAACATGCTGACACCTCAAGGGAAGGATGAGCATTAACACAAAAAGGGTCCTTTCATTTGATTAAATGCTGCATAAAGTAATGACAGTGCATGAAAATAAGCTTAAACTGTGTCAAACTAGACCCAGAGGGCTTCTTCAGCGCTTTACACAATGAAGCTCTGCTGTTCTTGGTGTCGTCACCCTCGCTCTGACAGCCTTCTATTTTTGTTAGCTCTTAAGTCTGTTCATAGATTTGTTGCTACCCCTCTTACACAACTGCTTGTCTGCTTTTTACCTGAGGCGGGCAGATTCTTGAGACCAGGTGGGCGAACCACAGTCCAGTTAATGTCGCTGGTCTTCTGCAGAAACTGCTCCATCTCATGCATGTTGGTGAGGACGCTTCGGATCATCGGTAGCAGGAGGAAGCGGATGAGATACGATGACTGCGTTCCAGAGTTAGCTAACAACAACAGACAAAAAAATACAGCGAAATTATTCTCTTCAACCTCTCACAATTCATCAAAAATGTGCAAGGAACAAAACTTGACCAGCTTTAATGTTATACATACATCCATTTGTGCTAACATTAAATAAAAATAAAAAGTGTACAAACTTAGTCCACTGATAAAGATTGTGAAGTATTGTTTAAACTCCAGGAAAATACATAAATTGGTAAATGACATTAGCTGAAAAAGTAGCTGTAAATGTTTGATTGAAAGCCACAGACTCCTAGTTGACATCTGAAAGTTGTGATAAGTTATTTCAAGAAGATGTTGGCTCACCAAGAGTAATTTATATCAACACAAAACAACTCTAAGAGCACCCAAAATTGAAATGTAAGAGCATAACAATCAGGTGGACTTCTTCCATCAACAAATCATAAGAGACCCCACAGACGACATCATCACGTGTGCTGCACTCACGGTCAGTGTACCAGGAGGTCATGGTGATGATCCTGTTGACCCGCATCTCTCGCATGGCGTTGACCATAGCATTCATGGACTGAGAGTAGCCCGTTACCGGCGAGAAAAAGGAGGTTGAGAAGCCAAGGCAGGACATGATGACATCCTGTCCTTTAAAGTGAGGCTTCAGACTGTCTGCTGAGAAAATATCAGCTTCCACCACCTGAAAGCAGCAGACAGGGAAACACAAATACATATATGTATATGAGCAGAGCATGATCATCAGTTTGTGATCACACACAAGTATTTTTTATTCATTTAAGGGCTCAAGACTGAGGCATTTTATTGATGTATTTTAGCACATGATGCATTTCAAATTGCAGGATTTATAATTGATTTCTTTTCATAAAGAATGAATAGTTAGTCTGTGGCATTCAGCCCCAGGCCAACCATTTCTACTGGAGACTACACTAAGAAAATCTTTACAAATTGGTCATAAATGCAGAGTCTCATTAAAAAAAAAGTTTTATCCAATTTAACCTTAACTGACCTGAGACATTAAGAAAATAACTAGATAAGGGAATTCCCATATTTTCCCATTTATCATGCGATCCTGCTGATGGATTTATTTAAAGCTCTGTCTTTTAGCATTTCCATTTTGTCCATTTTTATCCCAGTTTTGCTTTTTGTATTCTCAAGATAAGTGTCAGCTCAACACAGTCTCACATACATACCCCAGCTGGCTACCAACGTAACTAAAAGTTGATACCTGGTTGTTTTTAAGTTTGTGAGTGTTGCAAACTCACTAAAATCCAACTTCTTCCAAATGTCTCTTGCCAATGTCATCTTGATGTGAAATAACAATATTTAGTTGTAAGGTATGAAGTACAAATCCCAACACCTGCACAATGAGTTAATGGTAAAATGAAATGAAATTCTAACGTCATTTGACATTTAAAGTATCTTAACCCTGATTTTAATTCCAACCAAAATTTAACATCTGTCTAACGTAACAGTCCAAAGCCTTTCTGATGTCATTTTGACATCCAGTGCCAACTGGAATGTGAAATGGATACGACCTCTTGATGCATTATGTGGTGGTGGGCATGAAATGTGCCAGTGCAAAGTCTTTGAACAGTCACAACTTGGTTTGGAGAACAAAAAAAAAATACTTGGTTAGGCCGAAGAAGATGTTGTGGTTTTGGCTAAAATATTACATACGAGATGTAAGTGATGAAAACATACGTACTTATAAAATCTGTTAAGTCCTGTATCTACGATGACTTTTGGTTTCACATGGGACAGTCTATGTTTGTTTGTTTTTTATGCCTTTATTAGAACAGTCATGAAAGCATGAAATGGGGAGAGAGAGCCGGGATGACATGCAGTGGATGACTGCAGGCTGGAATTGAACCTGCAGCCGCTGCAGCGAGGACATTGCCTCAGTATGTGGGACGCTTGCTCTACCCACAAAGCCACCGGGCATCTCTCACTCTTTACACTTACTTCCTATGTCCACCATGATGAAAGATCCTCACTGACTTTGCACTGGCATCGTTTTCATGTTGCCAGCAGGTAATTTTAACACATTTTGTTGCCCACCACCACGTAATGCATTGTTAAGATTTTGTGTCCATTTCACATATTTCTTTGAGATCGGACTGGTCAGAAGATTTCTAGTCCTTGCTGCTGTGTCGGTAGAAGCTACCTTCCCCCATCTCCCAATAACAGCCTTTTTACTTGCTTTCAATACAAATATCTGTTGCTTTCCATCACACTTTCTTGAGGTAAAGTACAATATAACACTTAAATCCTAATATTTGTTTTAGCACTTTACATACAGTTTCCCAAAACACAAGTCAAATGATGCCCTCTCTGCTTTTCACTTTGGGTGTGAGCACTACATTTTGTAACAGAAGTTACTCAAACAGAGGAAAAAAGGTGCATTTGTTGGGGACGACTTTCAGCTGCAAACTAATACATATTTTGTGGAGTATTTACAGGATGGTGTATGTGTACAGCACACTGCCACTGTTCATCGCACTGATCGAAAATGTCACCCAGTGCAACAGTGTGACTCATTAAAGTGTTATTAATAGAGCGCAATAATGGAGCTCTTTGGCACAGAGGAATAAAATTTATCAGCTGATACTTGATACTCTTTTGCTCAGAAACATAAAGAGTACTCAAGGTTTTACCTCATACAACCCTCATTCGGACACAATAAAACACACATCATGAGACTGATCTTTGAACCCACCATGCAGAGAGCAGCAAAGACAGCACAACACAAACACAGTGTCACATTACCTTGAGATTATCATGATGCACGGTGAGTTTTCCTGGGTTCCTGACGATGGCGGTGACTGTGTGGCCCTGCTGCAGCGCCTGGTTGACCAGATACTGTCCAGTCTGCCCAGTGGCTCCCAGCACAGCGATCTTCATACTCAGACTCTGACAAACACACACACACACAGAGCTCAGTCAGGGCTGAAGCTTATCACTGGACGACGTGGTGAATGCTCTGATCTCTCTACTGACTGACGCCAACTAACTGTGGGGAGTTCCCTCCCTGTTCGCAAGTGTAAAAAATGATGACCATGGTGAATCTAAAAAGCTCGCCCTGAGGAATTTAGGTTTGTCATATGATGGGGTTTTATGTTAAAAATGTAGATTAGTGCTACACCGAATCCTTGTCTATACATTGGACACTGATACAGGAAAAATCTAAAGAAGTTAAATCATGGACAATGAAGAAAACCTGTGGGAGTTTTGCAACACTTTTAAATTTGGATGCCAACTAATGACTGTTGGAAAAAAGCCAGAGTATAGTGAAATATGTCCGCACAAGTTAAAGATGACATCTTCAAATAACTTACTCAAATCCAATTCAAGAGTTAGTTTGGTCTTTTTCAGCCTGGACACTATGTTTTTGTGACAGAATGACAAATGGGAACAAATTCTGAAACTGGTCCAGTACTGAGAAAAAACGCTTCAGCTGGCAGCTGCGAAACAGGCTGCAATGTAACTACTTGGGGCATGTTGTTCACACTGCCAGTTTATGTCCACTACAACTGCTTTTGCCACTGACAGGCTGAGATTGTTATTAGATATGTCTGACAACATTACAGAAAGGATCCCTACAGACAAAGGCCTTTATGTTAAAGAGTAAGATTCTCTTTGTTTAACCAGAAACAGCCCTAAAACCGGCATTGCCAATTCCACCAGAAAACTCACAAAAGCTGTCTTGGTTTGTCTTTCCACTGTTCCAACAATCACTAACTGGTCTGACTGAAATAAAACCTAAATTCACCCAGTTAGATGTGAAAATACGCTGGCTCTATCAATCTATCTATCCATGGCCATTTTCATCCGCTAATCTGAAGCTGGGCGCATGGGCAGCAGGTTGAGCAAACTTTCCAGATGTCCCCCTCCCAACTCTGTATATGCTAAAATTACTATTTATTTAAATGGAGTTTGGTGGGTTTAGTGATACTGGACCAGTCTTAAAAACGTGTTATTCTTATTAGTTACTAGGACAAAAAAGCATTGGAAAATGGGTGCAAATTGAACATTTGAGAGCTTGGATACATAAAATATTTGGCAATTTTTGCTCAATAAATCATTTAAAACAGTTATTAGATCACCAAATTGGTGCAGATTATTTTTTGTGTCACTTAACTACAGGTGCAGGAATGCAACCTGCTATTATTTGCAAGATGATTGATACATCTTTAAATACCAGTACAAACATTACAAAAGAATTATCTTTTTATGACGCTGGCACAGTTTAGTAACAGGCAGATGAAGACCTCTATCTGATGAGGCAAGAGGAACAAACACTGGGAGTCTTTGTTGAATCCAACTGGGTCGAATGGATTACTTCTGCAGGAGTGGAGGATGACGAGCTTGCTGGTCAGATGTTCTAAAGATATTTATCAGATAAAGTTGAACTTATCTCAAAATATATTGGTTAGGAAATCATTCTCAGAATGCATTTCTTGGTAGTTGATACAGAAGCTGTGATGTTTAAGCTGATTGCGTTCAACATGGAGCCATGTGCTGCACTGTAACAGCAGCTGCGCAAAGACTTACAAGAATTTGTTGTAATTATTGTTTTTTGGCAGATTTTTATTTTCCATTTTATGTCATTCTTTTAAAAGCCTATCCCAGCTGACGTTGAGCGAGAGGCAGGGTACACCCTGGACAGGTCACCAGACTATCACAGGGCTGACACATAGAGACAGACAACCATTCACACTCACATTCACACCTACGGACAATTTAGAGTCACCAATTAACCTGCATGTCTTTGGACTGTGAGAGGAAGCTGGAGTACCCAGAGAAAACCACCACCACCGTGCCACCCCCTCATTTATATGTTCTTTTTATATTTTATCTTCATGCCTTTTTATGTTTTATGTAAAGTACGTTGCGTTTCCTTGTTGTTTAAAGGTTCAATACAAATAAACTTAATATGTGACTGAATCCTGGTGAAAGCAGGTGGTGTGTTACATATTTTAAAAAGTCTCATTTATAGATGACAGAATTAAAAATACATGATCAGATAAAGCTACAGTCAATCATGTAAATGGTGCATTAAGACCATCTTTACCATATTTAGAGTAGTTGTGTGCAAATTCAAAACATGCAATTGCATTCTATAATAATTAAATTCCTTTAAAAATCTCCATGATTCAACTTTGAAACAATATAGTATGTTTAATAGCTCTGATGTAATACTCTTGTAAATATTAACTTGAGTTTCAACATTAACTAAGCAAATGTAAACCTTTACATGTGCTACACCAAACCTTGCATGCCCTTTGATCTCAAAGGGTCAAAGGTCACTTGATACTCCACTACAACTTAATGATTTTGCTGTTGTCCTGGCCGTCCATGCTCCTGGCATTTACAACACGCCAGTTCCCAGAGAAAAAAAAAAGTATGTGATACTTGAACAGGGTAAAGAATGATTCCCATTTTATATAACTGCTGTTTCACTGACTCCCTAAGGCACATCCTGTCCTGTAAAATTTGTCAGATCAATGTAGAAATGATTTGCTTGGATGATGATATGAGGCTGGAAGTGACTCTGACGTGTAATTAACTAAGTAGCATTAAGTAAAAGGAAAGGAAACAGTGATGCTGTTATGAAAATTAAATAACCTAAAGCAAGTTTGACTTCAGCAGCTACCAGTGCCACCCCACTTTTACATCATACCTACCAATACAGCAGCAGACTATGAAAGCACACATACAGAATTAAGTGAGAGTCCTAAAAACCTCTGACATTTTAAAAAGGATAAAACACCAGCCTGGAAAATGAATTAGTACTGAAAGTATGTGAACTTTCTATGACGATAAGGCTGACTTCACTTTGGTTCTGCACTGACAACAATACCATACTGTTAGGACATACTTAGGTCTTTAAATACAGGGACTGGATCAAGGTTTAAAGTTTTTACATGCAGTTAAATCCTTGTTTAGCTCACTTGTTTAATGCTTGTGGACACTGGCCAACTTTTGATAATGATCAGTAGAGAATCAGGAAGTGCTGTTTCCCCATCCAACTTATGTATTCATATTGTTTTATAAACACAGAAGCCATATACAAATTAAGAATGACAAAGGCTCACATTTGTCACTATAGGGTCAATGATTCTGCCAAGTTTTAAAACAGACAAGCTACATATTGTAAAGTTTATGTGCCCAGTGCCCTCAGCTCAATATCCTTTTAATATGACTCATCAAAGAGATAAATTGTCAGGCTCCGTCATATCTTAGAGAGCTCATAGTGCCGTATTATCCCACCAGAACACTGCGCTCTGAGAACGCAGGGTTACTCGTGGTCCCTAAAGTCTCCAAAAGTAGATCAGGAGCCAGAGCCTTCAGCTATCAGGCTCCTCTCCTGTGGAATCATCTTCCTGTTACGGTCCGGGAGGCAGACACCGTCTCCACATTTAAGACTAGACTTAAGACTTTCCTCTGTGATAAAGCTTATAGTTAGGGCTGGCTCAGGCTTGCCCTGTACCAGCCCCTAGTTAGGCTGACTTAGGCCTAGTCCCCCTATAATACACCGGGCACCTTCTCTCCTTCTCTCTCTCTCTCTTTCTCTCTCTCGTATCCTATTACTGCATCTTGCTAACTCGGCCATTCTGGATGTCACTAACTCGGCTTCTTCTCCGGAGCCTTTGTGCTCCACTGTCTCTCAGGTTAACTCATATCACAGCGGTGCCTGGATAGTGTGACATGTGTGGTTGTGCTGCTGCCGTGGTCCTGCCAGATGCCTCCTGCTGCTGCTGCTGTTATCATTAGTCATACTTCTACTGTTATTATACACATGATTATTGTCACATATGTACACTATCAGATATTAATATATACTTTCAACATATTGTACCACAACAGCCAGAATTATAATTATAATATTATTACTTTCATTAAAGTTGTTGTAAGCTACTTTCATTACCGTCTGTCCTGCATCTCTCTCTCTCTCTCTCTCTCTCTCTGTCTCATTGTGTCATACGGATTACTGTTAATTTATCATGTTAATCTGCTCTGTACGACATCGATTGCACGTCTGTCCGTCCTGGAAGAGGGATCCCTCCTCAGTTGCTCTTCTTGAGGTTTCTACCGTTTTTTTCCCCCCCGTTAAAGGTTTTTTTGGGGGAGTTTTTCCTTATACGCTGTGAGAGTCATAAGGACAGAGGGATGTCGTATGCTGTAAAGCCCTGTGAGGCAAACTGTGATTTGTGATATTGGGCTTTATAAATAAAACTGATTGATTGGATTGATTGGTATATATTCCCACCAATGTTTTTCCCAATGTCAAATGTTCAGTGTATATTTCTCTGGGTCAGTGTGTGGAAATCACCCACCAACAGCTGATGTTATAATACTTGAATACCTCTCATTTATGGGCTAGACTGTTTTGTTGATTTTAGACATTGATCTGCATTTGAAACATCCATATAACCTCGTTATTTTGCATTTTGAATCATGAGGTTAGCCCTCAGCAATTTCAATTTCAATAATGTAAGTTTATATCAAGAGACACAGGACCCTGGGATCATACATGATGCCATATTAAGTTAAATTCACATTTCACTATAACTGTTTAAACAAAACCTGAGCATTGTGACTAACCTTAATAAAATTAGGATTTAAAGCAGCACTGTTGCAAGTAGATGGCATTTATTTTAAGTGCCTAATGAACTGGCAACTGCGTGGTTACCTAACATACTGAACTCGATATGACCCCAAGTCCAACCAGGGTGCACCAATGTTTTCGCCAATTTCAAACTCGCACCTTTCTTAAAACGTGTTTATTAATCCAGCAAGCGGAGCAACATACGTTTTTCTCACATTTCCCCAAAGCATGACAGTTCGGCGTTAATTATTATTCACATAAAAGAGAGGACAGCATGTTTATAGCTGTCAGGAAGTGCTGGCTAGCTAATAAACAAACATTAGATAACTCACCTCCGCCATACTTGTCCAGAGAGTGAGGCGTTCAAGAGCGGTAGCGTTCAAGTATGTTTGTAAAGCAATAGTTTTTGAAAGGTTGTTCAGTTTATACATTTATGATAGATTAAAATTGCGTTTTGATGACACAAAGGATGATATTGCATTACCATTTCAAGTACGTTTCTAAGCGACTGAAAACGTCATCCAAAAATATATATTTAACGTGAAATTAGCACCCAGCTAACCCGTTAGTTAGCATACATGTAGTTATGCTATCTGATTAGCCGTTCCTCAGAGAATTAGCTAACTGCTAATCAGTGACAATGAATTTGTTCATCATTTAAAAACAACCCAAATTAGATGGTTACAGCGTCTTTAATTTAATATAATGTTTTCTTGCTTCTCATTGTTTCATATCAAGTTGAAATCTATTTTGTTTTTGTCTCTTTGTCAGAAAAAATGATGATATGAAGACCAAACTCTGGACTCTGGTAACCTTTGATGTGCATTTATTACCATATTTTTAGACAAATATTTAATAGATTTATCAACTTTTTAAAAAGCAATTACTGATTACTTCCATATTTACCTACTGATACCTGTGTGTTTCAGAGATTTACTGTATGGAGTAACTTTGAATAATCGATTATCACTTTTTATTGGGTTTTCATTGGGAGAAACATTTGAGGGGTAAAAAGACACAAAAAGATAAATAACTGACCACCAAAATGACAAAAAGACAATCATACATAAGTTGAAGGAACTGTGTAAGATTTAGGGTGAAATAATGGCATCTACCGTGAGGATTTTGGATGGCAACCAGCTAAAACTTCTCCACATTAGAGTTACTTCAGTGTTCATTGTTAAGGAGGTTTTTACCAGGAGCTAAATTATCCGCAGAGGTCTCTTCGTCTCCAAAACAAGAGGACCAAGTGATGAAAGAAACAGTAAAAGCACTAAATAAAGCAGTTTAATGTTAAAAGGCAGTGTTTCTCTGACGCTGTTTGGCATGATGCACACAGGCTGCTTGCCCAGCATCTGCTATGACTGCTGATTTCCTAATGTGTGCTCATCTTATCTCTGAACCAGACATTCAGAAGGTTTTTACCGGGAGCTGTATTATCTGCAGAGGCCTCCTCCTCTCCAAAACAAACACAACAGGTGATTGAAACCATTAAAAATGCTGAATACATCAGTCATGTTACAAATCTGTTTCCCTGACACTATTTGGGATGTCAGAGAAGGACTGCCATCCCAGCACCTTCTAATCTGTGCTCACCTTTTTTTCTGTGTAAGATGCAGATGTTCAGCAGGTTTTTACCAGGAGCCACATTGTCTTCCTCTCCAAGACAAACAGACGCAATTATTTAAACTGGTAGAAACACTAAATAAAGCATTTTTACGTAAAAAAAAACAAAACACTGTTTTTCCAACAATGTCGTTGCAGAGGGGCTTCAAACTACAGTGGCCGACGTGAAAACGGCCTATGTAGAGCCAGTGTTTGCTTTGCCTGTTCTGGGCCACTGTAGAAAGGTGGTGGTTCAACATGGCAGGCTTCCTAGACAAGGACCCACTTCCTGTGTCAACAGCTCTTTATAAGGTAACAAAAACACAACAATTCTTATTCTCAGTTGATTATACACTAAAGAAAACGTACTTACTATATTTAATTAAATTTCTGCCATTATATCCCCCTAAATTCTACACACTGGGCCTTTAAAGTCATAAAAATGATTATACTAATGAAAGGTATGGGGCAGTATATCTTGTTTTTGGGGAGGTGTTGTGCTTTTCTTTCAGCCTGCCATGAACAGACCTGACACTGGACCATTTCACTGCTGAAAATGAAACATGGAGGTTCCCTCATTTGGCTCCTCATTAGGTAAGATTGCAGAAGAAACACAAATCACAATCATCAAATCCTGCTGGCGAATGTGCCTGAGTCTCAATCCAATATAAACACATCTGACCACACACGCACACACAATCCTGGGCTCCAAGAAAAGCACCTGTAATCAAAAACAAGACCAAAAACAGATGCAGGCCTCCCTCTCGTCACCCATGCTTCCCTCTGCTCTTTGCCATCCTCCTATATAAAGACCAGTCTAGTCGCATCAAGTCATTAGCTCAAGTAATCCACTTGTGGCTCGGTGCCTTGATTATGCGATCACACCGAGAGACTAAACCAGCTTCAGCACAGACTGAGGGAGCGTCACACAAGAGGCCTCTGTGGTGAGTTACTGCTGAAGGTGCTGTTGTCATTCATCTACCTACAATATGATGAGTGGTCTGATAGATATCCTGCAGTTCTTGACCTGAACCTGGTGGACTGGTGGAGGATGAAACAGAGCAAATGGCTGTTTAAATACTCATCAAAACTGAGAGCCAAACGACTTGGGAGCTGGTGACTGGATAGAGGAGGTGACCACGTGAGTAAACCACTGATTTTAAGATGTCGTAGTAGAGTTTTTAGATATAGTAAAACTACAAATGGAGCAGAGAAATTGAGAAAATTAGATGTCATAGGTCTTAGTTTTTCTCTGAACCATCGTCAGGTTTTAGACCTGGTTCAAGTCCTTCTCACAGTTTATTTTAGTCCACTTAAAATGCCAGGTTTTGATTTTGAACAGATGCCTTTGGCTTGCTGCTAAATATCTTTACATGTGACGAAAGCCACCCATCTGTTGCTTTAAGTAGTCCGAAGCCAGCTCTGCAAAGCAAGAAAGTTACATGCGCTTTGTTCAGATTGAATAGCTCAGTCTTTTATTTGGTTTTGCAAATTGTAACCAGAAATTAAGGCATCATTTGTTTACTTAAAACAACAGATGGTCATCTAGAAATTATTAAATTTGGCCATTTCATCAAAAAAACTTCATGCCATTAAGATTTTTCCTGCCTCCTCACTTTGATAAATTGCTTAATGTAAGCCTTCGTAGAATTCAGATAAAACAGTCCTGTGCCGCAGGATTGAGGCCAATCGAAGAGGTCAGGAGTGAACCAGCAGATAATGAGATTAGAAGGTCAAACGTCCTACTGCTTCAGCTTCCCCACTGCTGACAAGCTACGCGCAACTTTCCGTTCTGTGAATGAACCGGTCTCCTGGAGAGAGGAGATATTTTTAAAATGGGTGTGGAGAGTCTGAAAATGTTGGTAAAGTCATATATGTGTCTCCAAAAAGTCGTGTATCCCCTTTAGAGAGCAGTGTTGGATTCATCTAGTGGTTGCACATGAACAGTACGGTTAAATACATGCTTATAGATCAACTCCAGCAGCTTGTAGCTGATGTCATGATTGTTTGGTGCTCTGAACAGGAACAGTCATGGGATGTGGCGTCACGAAGTCCGACCATTTCCACAAAACATCTGGTAAAGGTAACCATTATATTTGAAACGTAGACTGGTAAACCTGTTTAGCAAATTTAACCCTCTCAGGTTTACATTAATTGTCACCACAACGTCCCTCTTGTTGTCTACCTTGTTCTTGTTCATTAAAAAATAGCTGCTTTTGTTGGTCTTGAACTTGTCTGATATCTTGGCAGCCACCTCGCCAAGGTGTCATGCCACCAACTATCCCCTCCTGATGAGAAACTTAGCTCATATACATGTAATCTGTCATACGTATGAAATGTACAAATGTAACATATCAGTGGTTTGCAGAAGCGTACAATGCAAACATTTTATTCTGGTGACTGGACTGTTTTTGTGTGCTTTTCACTTCAACTGTTATCTCCCTATTATATGTGTTATCTATTAACGTTTCTGTATTTCTTTTTGTCTCTGTGCTCTGCTGCATTAAGCCGTCACAAGTAAGCCACAGCTGTCTTACCTTGTTTGTTGTGTTGTTGTTGTTGTTGTTGACGTTGAACGTAAGCTTAAACCACACATATCTGGGTTAGAGCAGCTGGAGGAAAAACTGAATGTCTGACATAAGCAGAAAAAAAGTTCTTTTGGATATTGTACTTAAGTAGAACTAAAGTAAACAATTTTCAAATACTTAAAGTACTTGCAGTGAAATTGTATTTTGTCAAAATAAAAATATCCAAGGTAAACTAATAAACCAACACTCAGGCTCACTGGTCACAAGAGAGTGAGTATTATTTGTGTCCTCTCTGCCCCAAATCATCTCATTTCATCTCACATCAAAAACAAGACCTTTAACAAATGCAATTTTTTGTCAAAATGTTCTTTTAATCACTAATTTAAACGACACAATTAAAAAAATGATAGCATAAGCCTATATGATCACGTCATTGCAGTGTGTTTCTACTTAAGAAACTGATACATCGGTGGCGTAAGAAATGTCAAGATGATATAATCTGATCCACCTGTATCTCAGCAGTGCTTGACATTCTCTGTTTGTGTTTCAGCTATAAAATCTGCCATCCTGATTCAGCGATGGTACCGTCAGTATGTCGCCCGCACAGAGATGAGACGGAGATACACCTGGCACATCTTCCAGTCCATCGAATACTCCGGTGAACAGGCTCAGATAAAAGTGAGGAACCACCAGAGACAATCCTGTACACGTTCTGCTTGTTTGTTGAATTGAAAAATAACGGCTCAACTTTTACGTCTCCTCCCTGTGCAGCTTTACAACTTTCTCGGCTACCTCATGGATAATTTCACACCTACAAGCAATGAACGTAAGAGTTTACATGTCAAATGACAAACTGTTTTTGCTCAGTATTTTCCTTCTGTAATCTCTGAGTTTAAATTTGTGCTGACCTTCCTTGCAGGGAATTTGATCTCACACATCTTCAGAGAGAACGAGATCTGTCGCGATGCAGAGTGGGAGAGGTACTTCTGCTACAAGAACATCGAAGTGCCAGAGATTTACTCAGGACCTCACCTCACCTTCCCTCTGACGGTGGAGCAGGCGGTTGGGCTGGTGGAGGCCTTCAGGAACAAGAAAGTAGGTGCAAACCTCTGCTTTAAAAACCTCCTTCAAAGCTGATGTTCAGGCTCACTGGTTTTATCTTACTGCACAAGATCAAGCTTAGTAGGAAAATGAGGCGGAAACTAGTCGTGATTAGAATTTTAAATCCCAATAGTATGCTTAAATTTGACAAAAATAAATTACATTTTACTGTGAACTGAGTTTCAAAAGCAGGAAAGCAAGATATAATGATGGAGGTGGACTGTTGATAGTCTCAGGTCCACAACGAATATCATTTGCCCTAATTTGTACTTAATATTTTACTTCAAGAGAAGATACTCATACTAATGTGTATGAAACTGACCACTAAAATCACGTTCATGAGCTTAAGATGGAGTGTGATTGTCTCCTCAACAAGGTTTTTTGGTGTTGAGTAGAATTTCCACAAACAAAACAAGTGCATCTTTAAATGACGCCGATGCTGCTAATCAACAAACTTATCATAATAGAATTTCTGGCATTTTTCTACTCATTTAATTAGTCTTTGAGTCTACTGAAAAGCAGTATTTGAATAAAATGTATGATCAATGCATAAATCACAATATGGCAGCAGTTATCAAACACTGAAATATAAATATCCGTTCATGTGCCTGAGATCTTCTTGCTAACGAGTCTTTCTCCCAGTAGCAGCTGCATTCACGTTACGTCCTCCAGCTGCTGCTTGAGACTTGGAAACAGCTCCGGATGTTGCCAAATATCAACCGTGTCTCCACCTGCCGCAGCAAAGAAATCACTATTTGTGGTGAGATTTGATCAGTTTATCAAAACGCCTAAAATGCTCTGGTTACAGCGTCTTAGTCATAAATACTCGCTGATTGTATTAATCTCCTGTTTGAGTGAATTGATTCGCTTATATGTCAGTTGTGAAACATTCATCGCTGATGTTTTAAGCATTTATGAAATATCTGATGTTTTATTGTTAAAACTTAAAGTCATTTTAGAACAATTGTGTCTCAGTTGTAAAACTTAAAAAACCTTATGAGAGAAATGTCGACAGTTCCTTTCTGTTTGATTGTTATTTGATAATTTAAAGATGTCCTCTTCATTACAGGTGATTTGCATGGACAACTGGAAGACCTGCTGCTGATTTTCTACAAGGTCAGGACTTCATCCTCCAAGATCTTATTTAAGATTTAAAATTTAAGAAATGCTGAAATAACTAAATTGAAAATGTTCTGGTTTCTTTTTGGCTCATGGGCTACAGTTACAGTTCTCAATTTGAAAGACACATACATGGATAGACAATTTTATTAATTTTTATTTTAATCAAAATACTCTCCTCCTGTACTTTGGCACCCTAAAGTAAATCAGCAGTGCTGCAATATTGTCTGAAACACTATGATAACGTCTTTCAGTGTCTCATTTTGTTTGGCCAAAATTCCAAAAACACAAAAATAGTTCATTTTTGATTATGTGAAATGGAGAAAAATGGCAAATTCTTACATTTAAATAATTTAAACAATCAACTTATTATCAAATTTTCTGCTAATTAATTACCTATTGATGAACTAATTGATATATCCGCTACTTGATTTTTTTAGTTTATGTGTAAAGAATAGTTTGAAACTTTTGAAGTGGGGTTGTGTGAGGTACTTATCAGTATATTACCTACCGCAGATGTCTGTCAGACAGTTTGGAGAGGCAGGCAGGAGTACCAACACGGAAGCTAAGCCATGTACAGCTGTCGACCCCACTTCAAAATATCTGAATAGTCCCTTTAAAACAAAGATTGTTAGTTGCAACCTGCTCTGTTTTTTTACACTGAATCAATTAGTGAGTGAGACAGGATCTGTGCTGTCTGTCCTCTCATTTGTTTACAGTCAGATTACAAACTGACCCTTTAACACAGCTTTATTTGTTTCCATTAAAGAACGGCATGCCGTCCTTGGAGAAGCCCTACGTGTTTAACGGAGACTTTGTAGACCGAGGCAAAGACTCCATCGAGATCCTCATTATCCTGTTTTCATTTCTGCTCGTCTATCCGAGTGACGTCTACCTCAACAGAGGAAACCACGAGGACCACATAGTCAACCTGAGGTAAGGAACCTGAGGTAAAACTAAGTCTAACTGGAGGACAGTGAATCTTCACTTTCTGACTGTTACATTGTGTCTCCGGCTGATGCAGGTACGGCTTCACGAAGGAGGTGTTGACGAAATACAAGGTAGGTTCATATCACCATACAAACATCAACACACTCCTTTGTCTTTCTGTTTACCACTCACTATTAACTCCTGATCTCTGCTGATCAAACCAGCCAGCAGAGCCAACATGTGTCCTAATCTCTTCTATCTTTGGAGCAGCAAAATTAAATTGCTTCCAGTCACCTTCACCTACACATTCCCAGTAAAGCTTGATATAGGCTAGATTCCTTCCCAACACAATACTGGTCACTCCTCCTCGCGGCTAAGAGGATTTGAGGTTATTTAATCAGACGACTGCAGGACATCTGACCCTGTTGGCTTCCTCGCCCTCCCTGGCCCAAACATGTACCACATAATTCAGGTTTTCTGTCCTTTGTTGGGATAAAAGAAAGTTTCAATTCCTGTTGCACTATCAGCAGTAATCTGATTGAAAATTTGATTTATAAACATCAAACTTTTAACATGAAACAACATCTTTAAACTGGAGCTACAAGTCTCAATAACCAATCAAATAAAAACAACTATGCCATCAAAAACTGATAATGAAAACATCCCTAAAAGTACCTTAAAGGGACAGTTCACCCCAAAATCAAAAATACATATTTTCCTTCTTACCTGTAGTGCTATTTATCAATCTCAATGGTTTGGTGTGAGTTGCAGAGTGTTGGAGATATCGGCCTTCTTCTAAACTACACCTGCCAACTGAATCACCGCATGGCAGGAAGTGTGCATCTACAGCTAGCTCACTGAGCACCATTGAGCTTACATTACAGCTCAGCCGAGGAGGACGACATTAATGTTTACATCTTGCACAAACTGCTTGTCCATGAGTATATGCATGCTTCCTTCTGCCCAGCAATTCAGTTGGTGGGTGTAGTTTGGTAGAAAGAAAATATACAAACTTCAGGATAGCCTATAAGACACACAACGGCTCATGCCTTCTTAAAATTTGACTGCAAACTTAGAGAAGATGAAAAAGAAGAGAGAATGAAGACATTTATTTTCTGTTTATCCTCAGATGCACGGCAAACGTATCCTGAAGCTGCTGCAGAAGATTTTCAGCTGGTTGCCGTTAGCGACAGTAATCGATCAGAAGGTGCTTGTACTCCACGGAGGGATTTCAGACACCACAGACCTCGGCCTCCTCGCCAGATTGGACAGACACAATGTGAGCTGTGATGAATGCTTTCATTTTTAGATTATTAGACACAGATGTTGTTTTCAAAGTCTTTGACATCTCTGCTCTCGTCTGTTTTTTTTCCCCAGTATGTCTCAGCGCTGAGGCCTCCAAAGAAGAGATACCACAGCTCAGCGGGGTTGTCCATCGACTCGGACATGGATGAGGAGGTCTTGTCCAACCACCGGATCTTCCAGCGTCGGACTTCCCTCACGTTTCCCAAACCCCTTGGGACCCGCGACAGCTTCCAGAACCGCTCGCTGCAGGACTTCTCTGACCGGATCAAAGTGAACACGGTGGATGAGGTGGAGATCAACAAGAGGAGACAGTCCATTTTCAACGCAGCGATCAACAAACCAGAGAATGAGTTGTCTTCGTCTTTGTCCAATGAGTCTATCAACAGTGATCATTCCAAAGACGAGTGGAAACAGGTGATGAAGGAGTAGAGCAGTGTTTGCTCAGATACTTTGAGATCGATTTATGTTCTGTTTGATTTGTTTGCTGAAAAGCCGACTGATCCCGTCATTGTCTTTAAGTTTGGTTTTTCTCACCTTTAGTGCTGCCAAAGTTATTTTAGTCATTCTTGCTATTGATCTTAACTTCAGTACTGTACATGATAATCCTTATTCAATTTAAGTGTTTTAATAAAAGCCAGTAAAATGAGATAAATGAAGCAAAAAATAAAATACAGAAGTGCTTCAAGAAAGATAAACAAATATATACTCAGGCAGGGGCGGAAATCCCGGGGGGGACAGGGGGGACATGACTCCCCCTTCAGTAAAGCTGTCCCCCCCTAGAATATTTTGAGACACAATTAATAATTTTTGAACAATGCAGTAGTATTTATTGAAAGCACAATGTAAGCGGTGCTCATTATAATCGCGGAATAATATGCTATTTAAATCTTGAAAGATTTAGTCCCCCCCCTCCCATTCCTAGTAGTGGTATATCCCACACTCTTTCCAACGGGCGGGGCTACTTGGCAGCATTAGCAGCGTGTGGCTGGACCTGCTGCCCACATCGTGCATCGCAGGATAAGATGTACACTCACACAGACACAGTTTAAATTACACAAGTTACAACACATCCCATTTACTGTTACAACAAGCCCCAGGCCCAGGCTGATAATATAAACTGTCTGCAACATTTCTCCTGCATTGTTCAAAACTCAATTACGTGTGCTGCTAAGCTAAAAGCTAATGATTAAGCTCAGAGTTTAGTGATAGTCAGAGAGGACGAGAGAGAAAGAAGAGAGAGAGAGGACAGGACAAGAGCAGTCAGTGGTGGAGCGGCTCATAGCTAATGGGTACCTGTCTGTAGGCTCTCTCCTCCTGTCAGTGAGACAAACATGAAAGACGTGCAGTTTAACCGACGAGGAGCGGCCATTATGCGCGACTATTACGCACGGTTGTGAGGTGCGCAGCGGCAGATCTCACAGCACACTGTTTATAAACCAGTTTACCAGTTTAATTGCAGGAAATGTTTAGTTGTTGAGCCATTTCTCATAAGTGTAGACATTCACTCTGCCTGCTGGAGAGATAGAGAGAAGATTAAAGCGTCAAATTGTGGTAAAAGATGCTGTATAAAAGACAGGCTACAACTTTTTTTTCCTTGTCCCCCCCTGGAATTATTCTCTAAAATTTTACTGTTTATTGTAGCCCCCAACTATGAAATGGGATTTTCGCCCCTGTACTCAGGCACAACAGTACATATTTGTGGATAAAAAATGTGTACTCATGATGCTTTATTTAACCAACTCAGTAACGTTTTTGAATTAATTTTAGTTACATTATCTTGTCATGATCATTGTGTAAAGGTGCAGACAAGACACTCAAAAAAAGAGAAAACACACACATCTATATCTATGAAAATAACAACAAAACAAGCTGTCATTATGCAACACTTTAAAACAGGCACTTATCTTTTAAAATGTTCACAGTCCTCAGGTTAAATAATCAAAATACTCTTATTTTTGAGATAGGCCTAACTCAGTAGAATGCAGTAATATTTTGTATTTAGAGTACAAAATATTACAAGTGACCTCTGAACTCTGACTGTAGGGCACTTTGGCTGAACTAAGTCTACAAACAGAAAACGATCTAATTCCAAAATGCTACATATTCGCATCTCGAAACGTTTCCCTCCTAAATTTCAGTAATTCATCAGTGCAATGTCAAATCAGTTCATTTCAGTTTTATTTATGAAGCCCCAAATCACAATTTAACTCAGAGGGCTTTACAGCATGTCATCAGTATTTTAAAAACACTTAACTAAGATTACCTAGACAAAGAAAAAATCTTAGCACAAAGTCCATTTAGATTTTTACGGAGCTTTCATCCACATCATCCACTGAGAAAGACTATAACTGGTTCCAAGGTCAAGAATATGCTTTATACTAAACTAGATTAGACAAAATTACACTACTTGTCAGTTTCCTCTTAAATGTTACACTTTCTTACTCTTGTTTGACTTACACTGTAGAAATACATCCGAGTGCAATGTTACTAGGGCTGTAACACCCAATTATTTTTTATCAGTTTTTACTTTTATCTGTCCAACATAACACAAATGCAAACTAAAAATCTTTACATTAAAGAAGCAATTTAGGGGACATTGTTTGCTTTAAAAATGTCTTCAATGATTAATCAATGATCAAAATAGTTGCAGATTAATTTTCTGTCAGTCATTTAAAGGAATACTTCACCCATAAAATGGCCATTTGTTTATCAGTTACTTATTTTATGTTGAATTTGTAAAGACAACTTTGAATTTCTCGCATGTCTCTGGTGATAAAGAACCCAAAAATGGGGAAAATTCTGGATGAACTGAAGTAAAAGGGGTCTGCGTTTAACAACAGCAAAACTTAACCAATACATTTCTTTTAATAACTCTCATACAACTCGTGCAGTATAATACAAGTCTTATTTATCCAGCTGTATGCTCAGTACTTCCAAAACATGTGCACTTTTGCCAAGCAGCACCCTGCAGGGCTGGAACATGAGGCCAACATGAAAGTGCCAAAAACTGCAGTTCTTTGAATGGTTACTTGAGGCTGGCTCCAGAGGCCAGTCACCATAGACCCTCATGCTAAAATGCCAGGCTTTACAGCAGAAATAAACGTGCTTACAGCCTCGTCTCTCCAGCTAATTTCCCTGTTAATGACAATTGTACAGGGGGTGAATTTTTATATAACTTATCTGTTTATATTTTATTAAGGCTAAAGTTACGCATAATCAAGGGTAGGCCGCTTTGAGTGGGGCTGTCTGCAGATAGTGTCCTCGGCTTGTCAGTCAGATCCACCCGTCGCTCCTCCACAATGGCAGCCTCTCACCAAAATATGCTCACTTCTGGCTCCAAAAAAGATGGCGACAGCCAGAATGCTCATCTCGAGGCTTCAAAATGGGAGTCCACAAACCACCGGGTGATGTCACAGTAGCTACTTACTCTATTTCAAGTTTAAACCATAACATTTAAAACACTTCTGCATAAACATAGATGAGTTGCACACCTGGGCAAGCATGTGGATTTGAACTCACCCATGCTTCTACTTCAATGTGGAAGTGTTTTAAATATTACGGTTTTAACAGTTTGCTGTTTTAGCGGAAGAACTGAGCAAACAACTGGATAAATGGGACTTGGATTATACTGCACGAGTAGTGTGAGAGTCTGAAACAGATGTTTTGATATAGTTTTGATGTTTAAATGTCTCAGTTTCTGGATTCATCATTTGTTAGATTCTTTTTGGAGGCATGCAAGATGTTTTCTGTACAAGTTCAATGTAAAACAGGGTGAGTAATTGATATACAACTGGTCGTGGTCATTTTGTGGGCGAGGTATTCCTTTAATCAACAAATAATTTCAACTCTAATTATTATAAAGTCTCAAGGCTACCTGTGGAGGTTTCTATGGGAACATCACTATGTAATGCCTCATAACAAGAGTTGTCAATGTTTTCAAATGATGTACATCTCATTTAGGAATGAAGGTTTATTGTTGTTGTTTGTTTGTTGTTCTCAGGTCTTAAAGTGTCCCATGTGAGATATTTAATTAGCGACTTTGTCAAGTGGAAAAAAAGTTATTTTGATTCAGAAGTCGTGGCCTTTGTGCCTCGGCTCTGTTCCAGGGGACTAAATAAGTCTTGAGTCACAGCCTGATAAACACTCGTCAGTGATCAACACTCACCTGCTGCGGATTGTTGCCTGCATGGAGCTTTAACATGCTTTAATCCATTGCGTCATCAATCCCTCTGCCGTAAGTTCACCTCCGTCACCACCTGTAAGCACAGGCTGCTGAAGTCAATGGTCTCAGCTGACTCTGGTACTTGGTGCTGGTTCAGGTGCAAACTTGCTCAATCATTGTCAGTCACTCAGGGTGACTTGTGTGAAGTGATGCGTTCAGGTGTTCGTGTGCCAGTGTAAACATGAGTAATAGCAGATCATGAAAAACACTTGAAATAACTTAGAAATTTATAATTAAAAGACATTATTTTTTTAATTTCTCCCTCCTGTCTCTACTCTACGTCCATAGATCCTGGACCTGCTGTGGAGCGACCCGATGAACCAGGACGGCTGCATGCCCAACGAGGTGCGGGGCGGAGGCTGCTACTGGGGCCCCGACGTCACCGAGGACTTCCTGAACAAACACGGCCTGCAGCTCATCATCCGCTCCCACGAGTGCAAACAGGACGGTTACGAGTTCTGCCACAACCGTAATGTGAGCTCAGATACTGACGGCACACAGACGCTCTAATGTTTTCCTGAATTCACTAAAACATTTTCTGTCATTTTACTCAGGTCCTCACTCTGTTCTCCGCCTCCAATTACTACGACGTGGGAAGCAACAGGGGGGCGTATGTGAAGTTGGGTCCAGACCTTGTGCCTCATTTACTTCAGTACCAGGCCAGCAGCATGATCAGAGAGCTCACCATAAGACAAAGGTGCAAAACTAACACCACTATCAATATTCATCTCAACAATGTGCAAGTGTTTCTGTTGGTTTTTTTTGCATTTTATCAGTTAATTGTCTACAAAATGTCAGAAAATTGTGAGAAATGCCTGCCACACTTTCCCAGAGCCGAAAGCAACATCTCCAAAAGCTTGTTTTGTCCAACAAACAGTTCAAAACATAAAATATGTACAGTTAGACAAAATAGAGAAAGTTGGCAACTATTTGCACTTAAGAGACTGGGAACAAAAACAACATAAAGCAAGACTTCCACATTTTGGTCAATATACATATTTGTTTTTTTACAGAGTGACATGAGAAGATTAATATTTCATGTGTGTCTCTGTAGTAACACGCTACAACTAGTTTATCTAATCTTAGCATAATAATTGAAAGCATGAGAAACAGCTAGCCTGGCTTTGCCAAAAGGCAACAAAATCCACCTCCTAGCAGCTTTTAATCTCATTAATTAACACTTTAGATCTTGTTTGTTTAGCTGTTTTGTTTACCTGCAGACAGAGCCAGTATTTGTGCTAGACTAAGATAATTGTCTGCTGGCTTTGATGTCTTTGAAACCTGGAGTGACTTCACTTTTCTTGTGGTGCTTTTAGACACATTTTGCAGTATTTAAACCTATCAACTCTGAGCAAATTGGTGCGAATTTTCTTTTTTTTAAATTTTCTCTTTTGACTAATTTCTTGCTAATTTTTTGGGTCATTTCTTCTTTCGTTGCTCATTGCCTTCTTTCCATGTATTTAAAAGAAATCAATGGAGTTTGCTCAGGTTTCAAAGGGTTAACGTACAGACATGAGAGCGGTGTTGATCTTCTCATTTAACTTTTGGCAAGAAAGTGATTATTTCCACAAAATGTCACAACAATTTCTTAAAAAGATTTATCTGTAATCAATATCATTGTCAAATTAGCCTCTTGTCATTTTACTTACTGTTCAGGCACAAATATCATCACACAAATATATGTACATATCTACTCTAGTAATAGCACATGGATATTTGTGTGTTTATCTTGCTCATGATTTTGGCCACCCACAATTAAATGAACATGATTGAAAGTGATATTGGCATTTAAAATGTGTGTTCTGCTTACAGAAAAATTCCTAAACTAACAACCACGGTAGCTGTCATGCCGCAGCAAGTGCAGCTAACTTGTTCAACCATCTGAAAAAACACTACAAACTGCAGAATGATGAATTTATGAAGGCCATGAAGAATGTTATTGCTAACCATTGTGGACTGAAATAACCAGTGAAATCACAGTCCATTTGGCCGAGGATGTGTGTCCATTAAACAGTTTATTATTATATTGCCTCTAAGAGATGTGCTGTAAAAAAGGACCAGTCTTATTTTGATGCAAAGATTAATACGTTAGCAGGAATGTAGCACAATGTGGAAACAAAAGGAGTGCTGTGTTTATTTAAATGTGAAAATAATAGTATTTATCATTTTAGCTATAATCATGCAGCCCTATCCAAGACATAATGATCTGTTTAATATCAAAGTTTATTATCTGTTGCATTTGTTGTTTTCTTGTCTGCAGTGTCGGGCAAACTGAGCGCTCAGCCCTCAGAGTCCTGCGGGAGCAGCTGTTTGCGCACAAATCTGACCTCATCTGTGCCTTCAAAAAGTTTGACAGCGAGAACACAGGTGTGTAATGTGACGCGAGTCAGTTCAGCCCTCAAAGGATCAGGTGTTCCTTAATGCTACTGCATATCTGTTGTGTACTTCCCCATGGAGTGCTGATGCGTGAGCTCACACCTTTTAATCCCCATTCATTAGAAAACAAACCCTGTGGGCCAGCCGAGTCCTTCAAGGAGCATCTGACAGTTTCACAGAAACTGTTCTCAAGTACATAATAAGTAAATAGGGGGTCACTCTACTAATCAACTCAGTGAAGATGTTTCTGTAATGTGCTCTGTGTGTTATTCTTGGTGTTAGAAATAGTAGTTAAAATCTTAGTGGACTGGGGATCATTTTTCAAGAGAGAGAGGGTGGTCTTGAAGTTACAATGAGATGTGTCTGACCAAAAATTCAATGAAAAAGTTTGTTGTGGTTGGTGCTTTTGCACTTCGTAGTTAACTCTTGTTATGCCCCACCCTTAGGCGACCCTATGGGGCTAACAAAACTCCATCACTGACCCAATAATAATCACATGAACACTGTTAAAACAATCAAATCCATGGGATTTATTAGAATGAAAACAAGCAGACAAGACAACGAAAATCCCACGGTGAGAGGCAGCAGGACCAGCAGTTCACACACCAGAGACCTCTCTCCTCTGCTGCTGGCACAGGAGCTCTTAAGCACCTCCTGGCATGCACAAGCCGTAAAACTCTTCACACCTGCCTATATTCACAGTTTTGAAAGGTTTTGCAAAAGTGAACACAGCGTTTTGTTTTGTTTTGGGTTTTTTTTTTTACAAATTGCAAAGGTAGAAATTAAGCTTGTTCATCGTTTCACAGAGTGAAAGTTGATATATTGAAAAAAGGCAGCATTTCCACCAAACACTCTCGATATAGTGCTGTTAGAACTGGTATGTAACCTGTACAGACATGTCCCTTAACTGCAGATCTGTTTTAGTGTTTACAGTGCAGACAGTACTATTAAATGTATGTGTGTGTTTTCACGGGATAGTCATGGTCGTGTCACTGCTTCATTCAGCTCTCCCTGTATTTCCTCTTCACTGGAGATGAAGAGTGTTTAGAGTCTCTGTTGCAATTGATAGGATATTTAAAAAAAAAGTATGTCTGTGAATTGAGTGCTTTTAGCGCACCAGTCAGTGGACTGCAGTGTTTCTAGCTCCACCTTTTAGTATCTGATCAGCGTGCTAGGTACCTCAACGGAGGGGGGACAAAAAAACAGGAGGGAATGGAGAGATTCAATTGGTACCACCCACAATGTTTGACAAAAATAACCATTTGAAATAACTGAACTGAACCAGACTGCTTGGTGGAAACAAGGCTAAAGACTCGCTTTGGATCAGAGTCTGAGCAGTTTTAGAATTTAGAGGTTTATACTTAACATTTAAATTTTTTTTAAAAACGATACAATACATCAGACAATTTTGATAAGCATCCCTTTCATTTGTTCACAGTTGAAGAATAAACTTGTCAATGATTTTTTTATAAACATTGTAAAGACCACACTGTGTCAAAATTACCTCAAACATGTCCAAACATGTTAATGTGTAACATGTCCACCTCTGTCAGGTCTTGTGTCTCTGAACGACTGGGCCTCTGCAGTGGAGAGCGTGATGCACCTCAGTCTGCCCTGGAGGATGCTGCGCTATCAGCTGTTCACCAGTAAGAGCAGTGACGGCATGATAAACTACTACGAGTGGTTCAACGAGCTCGCCATCAAAGGACCCAACACGGATGTAAGTAACCCAGCTGGGGATCCATTGTGATCACAGAAATACTAATGTCTGATTTAAGGATGTTGTATACGCTGGTACATATCTTTTGCTGAGTCAGACTCACCCTAACACACTAACTCAAACACACCTAAATACTGTTTATCTTGCAGCACATTGACCAGAGTCTGCTGGAGACTTTGTATCGCCATCGCTCCACCTTGGAGACCATCTTCAGGATCGTAGACACAGACAACTCAGGTAAAACAATTTATTCAACACTGAAAAAAGTTACATGTAGGGCCGTCACGATCATGAAATTTTAGTTTACGATTTATTGTCATACAAATATTTGTGATTGGCAATTTCATTGTCTTTATTTCTGTTCATTTTATGCCACTTAGAGGTGTTGTTTTGTTTTTTTGCTTTTCAATTAGACCTGGATCCATGTTGTTAATTTCAGTGGTTGCTCATGGAAAAATGTGATTGTTGGCAAAGGAGTGCCAGTTGAATCCTAAAGACCTTACAGATACCAGAAACTGAAAAAAAGTTAAATTAATTAATTGTCTTCTATTCAAATAAACACAAGAAGTTTGTGCTCTAGTTTGCTGAAACAAACTAAATCAAATACCTTGAAACTGTTGTGTAGGCCCCCCTAATGTAATGAAGACGTTTTTCAAGGCAGTTCAAGGAATACTTTACCCACAACATCATCATTTGTATGTCAATTAATAACCTTGTATTGCCTTGAATTTGTGAAGAGAACATTCTTGATGAATTAAAGGGGGGCGTGTTTAAAACAGCACAACAATTCAAAAGATTAATTTACAAGCTCTCACACAACTCGTGCAGTATAATCCTCATCTCATTTATCCAGTCAGATGCCCAGTACCTCCCAAAAACATTCATTTTTAGTAAAACTGTGATATTTAAAACACATCAACATACATGTAACACAACTGGGCAAGTGCTTGTGTTTGAAATCTGCACATGCATTCCACTTAATCCCAGTTTCCACCAGACACTTTCAGTATACCTTTGGAACCAAAACTAACCCTTCAGACATGGTACCTAGACCGTAGTGTTTCCACCTCAAATAGTACTCTTAAATGTGGCCGGGGTTGTTGTCACTCACTGCTCCGTCCAGCATTCACTGTATTCTCTTGTAGATGGCATCTCTGCTCCTTGTTTGTTGTCCACAGAATGTGGATGGACGCCAACATTTTCAGAACAAAATAGAACAGGCTACAGTGAGAGTCTCTCTCGATGGGATATTTAAAAATAGCAGGTTTGTGCATTTAGTCTTTCTCAGGCAAGCATAGCCAGCCGCAGCCCACAGGAATGACGCTTCGCACTGCTTTTTTTTTCTCCAAGTGAGGATTAGAATATATGTAGCTCACATAATCCAGTCGAAATTTAAACATTTGAAGATCCACTTATCACTAAAAGTCTGTGTCATCCAAGAGAGACAAAAAAACAACTAAAGTAATAGTCAAAGTTGTCAAACTGAAATTTAAACTGTGCTGATGGATTTGTGTCGTCACAACTCCTCCAGACCTGAAGATGATGCTCACTTCAGGGCTAACCTCCTTCACTTCACCCTGCAGATGGGCAACAAGAGAGGGAAACTTTACTTGGGTCTTAAGCAGCTGCATTTATTCAGAGACAAACTGTACATTTACTACCACTTCGAAACGTATACTGCAACCTCTACTGCTTATACTGCTTCCTCCACCTTAAAATGTCAGTCTATGTTTCCACAGTTTTGTTTCTGGGATGAAAAACTGTGCCAGCTCACAGAGACAATCCAATGAGACAGTCTGCTTCAGTGGAGGTGTAAAGTGTGTCAGGGCTCTGTAAAGTGTTTGTTGTGACCAGATAGAGACGTTTACTGAGTTCAGCCTCCGTTAATCCACCTGTAGCGTGCAAAAGAGGCTACATCAGGTTACGGCCTCCTGAATCCTCCCAGTTAAGATGAGGATTAACCCACTGATCTACTGGCCTCCCCATCCCTCACTCCAGAACACACACACACACACACACACACACACACACACACACACACTTTACTCTATCAGCATCTGTTTCTATTACTGCATCTCTAATCTCCTCTTTTCCACCCATCATCTTTAACCTTGAACCTCCTCCTCCTCACAGGCTTCATCACCATCGAGGACTTCCGGCAGACCTGGAAGCTGCTGAGCGTCTACCTAAAGATGGAGATCACGGACGACGCCATCTCCGACCTGGCCGTCACTATTGACCGCAACAATGACGGCAGCATTGACATCGAAGAGTTCATGGAGGCCTTCCGCCTCACAGACAAGAAGAGCCGGCTGGAGCGAGGGCGCAGCATGTTCATGGGGACGGGCACTGACCTCACCAAGCTGGAGGGAGATCCCAGCATTTGAGGAGAGAGACTGGGAACAGAGAGCGACCTCAGCTCAGACTCAGAGGGTAGGGGGAGGGAGGAAGGTGAGATGAAGGCAACGCAAGCTGCTTTAATGACGCACATTGAGACGTAGGATGCTGCTGAGCAACAGTAGATCACATGGGATTAGAGGGAGGATAGAGTTCAGGGTATTTGACAGCGAATGTTCATTTCGCATTTTGATGCAGTTTTATCCACTGAGGAAGAGACTGAAACACGACTGCATCACGTCTCATTTATTAAGTGAGAAGCATTTAAAACTGTTGCAAAGCAAAATCCACAAACACAGAAACAAAAAGGCGTCATATTTACACTGCACGATTATTACAAGAATAATAATAATAGATGTTGCATTAAAATCCATTTCTTTTGTTGTTTTCAACATGTTTTGACTCGTTAAAGGTAACGAAAAGAGTAACACCTGCACACTGACACAGAGACAATTATACATAACATTAATCAAGTAATATCTAAAAAAACATCGAATGCAGTTGTAAATTACACAAAAATAAACATGACAATATTGCACATAACAAACAACATTTAAAATGTATTTAACTAGAAACCCTACAGTCATATTAGGGCTGCAACTAATTATTTTTATGACTGATTTATCTGCCAATTGATCACTTGTGTTTACTATTTGGTCCATACAACATCAGAAAAATGTTTATTACCATTTACTTGATGCAAAGGTGATGTCACTAAATGCCTTGTTTTGTCTGACCAGAAAACCAAAACCTTAGTTTAGTTTATTTTGGTCATTTTCTATCTTATAAAACTTAAATATGCACCATACAGTCTATGATATGCACAAGAAAATAAATAAATAATTGAATAATTATTTGCAATGCAGTGACAACTTTTGCTGACCGAAAAGGGGGTAAACTGAAACTTTAGCCTAAACCCTCTTTACATATATTGTTTTGTACCTTTCCGTTTAGATTCATACAATGAAAATGAAAGAAACAAGCAAATCAATATACCTGTGTATATATATATATATATATATATATATACACCTAAACGTCCCAAATATTACATTTACTATGATGTTTGAACAAGAAATAAGGGCAAATGTTCTCATTTGACAACCATAAATCAGGGAATCTTTGTCTTTTACTTGAAAAAAAATGACTCAAGCAATTCATTACTAATCAAAATAGTTGGGCCTTAATTTTCTTAATTGATAAATTGACTAATTGTTGCCGCTCTGCTCCATAAAATGTGAAAAAATGCCCATCACAATTTCCCAGATGCCTTCTCAAATGGCTTGTTTTGTTCAACCAACAGCCCAAAAACAGCAATATTCAGTTTACAGTGATAAAAAAAATGGAGCAAATCCTCACATTTTGATCCCAGTGAACCATTTTCACTTGAAAAACTGAAAATGATTATTTTTCTGTTGATTCCCTAAAATTATTCAGTGTGCAGGTGTTAATCTGTTCATTTCCAGTAGCCTTGTATCAACATGTGAGGTGCGAATAACTACACGCCTCCTAAAGACTTTATAGAAACCAGACACTTAAAAAAACAAACCAAAAAACAGTATATGATAATAAGCTTTATTATATATATATATTATGGGCATTATGGTGGTGTGGTGGTTAGCACTCTCGCCTCACAGCAAGAGGGTTGCCGGTTCGATCCTGGGCGTGGGAGCCCTTCTGTGTGGAGTTTGCATGTTCTCCCTGTGTCAGCGTGGGTTCTCTCCTGGCACTCCGGCTTCCTCCCACAGTCCAAAGACATGCAGACTGGGGACTAGGTTAATTCTAAATTGTCCGTAGGTGTGAATGTGAGCGTGAATGGTTGTCTGTCTCTATGTGTCAACCCTGTGATAGTCTGGCAACCTGTCCAGGGTGTACCCTGCCTCTCGCCTGATGTTAGCTGGGATAGGCTCCAGCCCCCCCGCGACCCTCAAGAGGATGAAGCGGTTAGAAGATGAATGAATATATATATTATAATTGTGCAGCTCTCCATTAGCTGCACTAAGTAATTGCAACCATCATGTTGCTGGTGCCTTAGCAGTAGAAGCGCTTTTACTTCTAGAGATGCACTGATGATGTTTTGTATCAGTGCCAACCACCAACGATGCACCGGGGTCCCTACCCATCTCAGATGGGATTGGAACCCCCACCTTGTACAGAACGGAGAACTCGTGTTTTCTTTCATTTGACTTTTAGGATGGCTTCCTCCAAAGTGTTGCTTTGAAGCCCCGAAGCTGTGTTTTAAAGGGATAGTTTGATATTTTGGGAAGTCAGATGAGAGGATTGATACTACTCTCATGTCTGTTCAACCTGGTATCAATCTTTTTGTCTAACTATCCTTTAAGATACAGAGACAATGTGAGGTTTTAGGGTTTTTCTGTTAAAACTTCTCAGTTTCCATTGTTAGATAAAGTTCCCACGTTGTTTAAAGTCATTATTATAACTCAACCAAAAAAGAGACGAGGAAACAGTGTGCGTATGTGTAAAGTTGCTCTGTATGTAAAATGTAAATTTTAATGTATGTATGGGGTTTTTTTCTAGCATGTTGACCTTGTAAAACGTTTACTGTAAATACATCTCACATTCAAATTTGAAGCATGCATTGTGTGTCTGTGTTTGAGGTAAGTGATGTTTATGAATTAGAATTTTAAGAACCATAAATGACTCAAAAGTGGTAAACTGGGGAAAATATAACTCTGAGAAATAATCTCTCTGGAGGCCTTTAGAACATTTGCAATACTGGGAACATGGAGCATTTATCTTTAACGCCTATTTTTTAATTCAATATTTCCTATGAATTTCTTCTTTAAATTCTCATTTATATTTATATGTATCCCCTAAATTATTTAACTTTACCCATCAAACAACAACACATTTTCACATGATAATATGCTATAGGGTGGCAACTAACGGTTATTTTCATTAACAATTAATCAGCTAATACTTCTCCCAATTAACTGGTTAATCACTGTTTTTAAAATCTCATTAAATAATGAAGAATATTTATTATAATTTACTGCTAAGAGCTTGTTTTTACCAATATTCAATCTGCTTTATCATTATCTTAACATTCTAATTTATGACAAAGGATGAAATCCTCTCTTTAGAGGCTGGAACAAGTAAATGATTGGAAATTGTTCTTTATAAATGATTCAGTCATCACAACAGTTGGAGATTAATTTTCTGACAATCAAGGAATTTTTTTAGCCGTAAGATAAAACAAAATGTTACAAATTAAAAGATAAAAGCGAAGCTAATTGTCCATTTTTTACATAATATATTTTCTTAAGTTCTAATTGAACAACATTTCAATTGATTTCCATTAAGAATTAAGGCCACACACTTAAATTCTTACACATATTTATTTAATTTAGATCACCTGATCTTTTCCAACCAACCAATCCTACAAATTTTAGTCAATAATGAAAGTTTTATTTATTTATTTATCTTTACATTAAACATCTCAATCATTCAATTTAATCTCATAAAGCTCATACAGATTATTAACAGTATTATGTTGTGTCATTATCCCTCCTGAACAGTCAGATTAGTTTTCAGAATCACCAGCAGAGGGCGCAAAAGACCATTCAGTACAGTTTGTTACAAACCAGAGGACCACCTCATCTAAACTGATGACTGAGACATAATGAAAGACTGAGAGTCATTTAAGACATATTAAGTATCCACAAAAATTGGCTCGTAAGAGTATCATTTATCAAAGATTAATACAAAAGAGCAAACACACAAACTGCTAACTGGGATTCCTGAAGGCACGACATCATGAATCTGAGCTGCAGCAACAGCTCGTGGAAACTCTCAGGGTTTTAACTGCATTATCTCCCTGTAAGCCTCTGTGGCCGGGACATTAGTTTTACTTTCACATGATTATCTTTGAAGTGGGTGGATATTAAAACATGCTCGGAACTGCCTGCAGTTTAAAATGAGGTTGGATTAAAAAGCATTTACACACACGCAGTCATTATTTACCTGGAGAGGAGAGTTTGCCCTCAGAGTCAACATGTTTTGGAGCAAGTCCTGGCCCTGTCCAGCTTTAAATCCACCTATCATCATCTGTAAAGCTCTTTCAACACTTAGATCTTGTTGGTTTCACACAAAAAGTGTAAAAAATAACAAGTTGCAGTTAGAGCTAGTTGTAGCTGCTTTTACTGTTGGTTGTATCTTAACTTTGACTCAAGATGTCTGACACATAAATCACTGTAATGCCTGTATAATATGATTTTCATTTCTATACTGTGGATTTCTACAGATTGAATTAAAGAGACATAAAGTGTTAGTGAACTTAGAGGTGCTGGTAGGCTGGCTTTTGATACCTTGGGCCCAGCCATGCTAGCTGTTTCCAGTCTTTATGCTAAGCTAAGCTAACTGTCTCCAGGCTGTAGCTTCCTTTTAACAAACAAACATGAGAGTGGCGGCACAATGGTCAAGTGGTTAGCATTGTTGTTTCACAGAGGGTTCCTGTTCTAACCCAAGGTACGGGTTCAAAACCTGGGGTGAGGGAGTTTGCATGTTCTCCCTGTGTCAGCGTGAGGACTGGAGCCTATCCCAGCTGACACTGGGTGAGAGGCGGGGTTCACCCTGGACAGGTCACCAGACTATCACAGGGCTGACACATAGAGACACAACCATTCATGCTCACATTCACACCTACGGGCAATTTAGAGTCACCAATGGACCTTTTTCACAGCAGACATTTTGATTCGTCTTAGTAGAAAAGGCAAAGGTGAAATTGAAATCATTAAGGATGGCTGAGTTCCATTCAGTGTCACAGTAAGCTATTAACAGTTAGCCAACATGGACAATACCAGGGTCTCCCCTTATTGGAATGCAGCTGTCATTAGTGTTGACCTGTTCACCTGTGCTGCTCCTAATCTGACAAAATGTCTGCCGTGAAAAAGGCCTATTTACCTGCTTGTCTTTGGACTGTGGGAGGAAGCTGGAGTACCCGGAAAAAACCCACGCTGACAGTGACACAGGAGAGCATGCAAACTTTGCACAGAAGGGCTCTCCCACCCTGGGTTTGAACCAGAAACCCTTGCTGTGACAAATGCTAACCACTGCACCACCATGCTGCCACTTTATGACCAATACTGTTTTATTGTATATGATCAGAATCTGCTTTATTGGCTGAGTAAGCGTGTACACATACAAGAAATGTAACGCACAACAGATAACATTTGTAGACAGTAAGACAATAGTGCAATGATGCACAGTGCAAACAGTGCTGGAATAAATATGGAATTATCAATGTAACATGTTACTTAATATACATGAGGTAGTTGGATTTGGGGTACAGCATGTGTCACAGTTATGATATTTACATGTTAAAAACAGTGTACATACAGGGGCATGCAAAAGGTGAAACAGGTCACAATCTTGTTTACTGAGAAGAGAGGGTCACCTCTAAAGCTCGGTCTATTGTCTCAGACTCAACATCCCTTCCATCAGAGGATTTGCCTCCCAAAATGCGGCACAAGCGTTACAGATCATCCTTTGTTCCAACTGCTTGCGCTTATCTTAACCAGCAGTGACCACTAATTGTCCATGATTTACCCCAGTGACAGTGTGTGATACTGGATTCTGTGTGTTATGTATTGTACTGTCTGCTTTACTTTACTTATGACTGCTGTCTGTATCCTAAATTGCCCCTAGGGGACATTACAGTTTTACCTTACCATGAATGGTTAGGTAAGTAGAAGATGAGCTGATCTCCAAAAGGCATGAAGTTGAAGATGAAATATACTTTTCAACTTTTTAAGTGAGATTAGTCTATTATTTTTGTTTTGTATGATTTTAGAGTGAAAAAAAGGAAAGGTGCACCACGCATAAGTTTGGACACCCCAAGACATCTGAGCTCTCAGACAACTCTCACCAGGGTCTCAGACCTTAATGAGTTTGTTAGGGCTCTGGCTTGTTTGCAGTCATCGTCAGGAAAGGCCGGATGATGCAAATTTCAAAGCTTTACAAACACTCTGACTCCTGAAACCATCTCCCAACAATCAGCAGCCACGGGCTCCTCTAAACAGCTGCCTAGCAATCTGAAAACTAGAATAATTGATGCCCACAGAGCAGGAGAAGACTTTCAGAAGATAGCCAAGTGTTTTCATGTAGCTGTTTCCTCAGTTCGTAATATAATTGAGAAATGGCAGCTAACAGGAACTATGGAGGTCACAGCTTTTGGAGACAGCTGCTCGTAGGATTGTTGAAAGGCAAATCAGAACTCCTGTTTGTCTGCACAAGACCTGCAGAAAGATTTATCAGACTCTGGAGTGGTGGTGCACTGTTCTACTGTGCAGCGATATATATGACCGTCATGGCAGAGTCATCAGGAGAAATCTTTCCTGCGTCCTCACCGCAAAATTCAGCTTCAGAAGGTGGCAAAGGAACATTTAAACAAACCTGATGCTTTTTGGATACAAATCCAAAAAGCCCAAACCTTTTCATGCTGCTGTTAACTATAAAAAAATATATAATTTACAGGTACAATAAAGTACAGTGGATATTTGGTGTTACAGGGATGATCACCTGTTTTGTTTGTTAAATCATAATCTGCAAAGTCACTACAGTTATTATTGGAGTAAACT